GGAGATAGAGGGATGGATGGAGAGAGGAAGACAGAAACAGGAGAGAGCAAGAGAGGCAGAAAGTGACAGAGGGAAGACAGAGAGAGACGGGACACGGGCGGACAGAGAGGAGAGGAGAGGAGCCCGCCCCTGGCCCCGACTCACGCCCTTTTCCGTGCTTGTGATTCCAGGAGACGGAAGTTCCCGAAGCAATGAACTGAAGCGAAGATGCGAAGACCTGGAGGCTGAGCTCAAGGCCAAGGAGGCGGAGAACCAGGCGCTGCTGCAGGAGCTGGAGCAGAAGAACGCGCTGATCGCGGTGCTGGAGACCACGGTGAAGGAGCGAGAGAAGAAGTACCTGGAGGAGCTGAAGCTGAAGAGCCACAAGCTGAGCGTGCTGTCGGGCGAGCTGGAGCAGCGCGCCGGCACCATCGCCTACCTCACGTCGCAGCTGCACGCCACCAAGAAGAAGCTGCTGATGAGCCCGGCCGACGCGGGCGCCGCCGGCCCCGCGTCCTCGGCCGGCCCCGCCGCCGGCTACAAGCCCGCGCCCCCCAAGGAGAAGCTCCCCGAGACCCCGCGGCGCCGCATGAAAAAGAGCCTGTCGGCGCCGCTGAACCCGGAGTTCGAGGAGGTCTACAGACTGGGCTCGGAGAGCCGCAAGCTCCTTCTGCGCGAGCCGGTGGACGCCATGCCGGACCCCACCCCGTTTCTGCTGGCCCGGGAGGCGGCCGAGGTGCACCTCATCAAAGAAAGGCCTCTGGTCATCCCTCCCATCGCCTCGGAGCGCCCCTCGGGGGAGCAGCACAGCCCCGCCAGAGACAAGGCGCACAAGGCGCACGTCGGGGTGGCGCACCGCATCCATCACGTCCCGCCCGCCCAGGCGCAGCCCGAGGTGGAGACGCTGGCGGTGGATCAGGTTAACGGAAGCAAAGTTGTTAGGAAGCACTCAGGGGCCGATAGAACTGTTTGAGACAGAACCGAGCAGACCCTCTGTTCTATTGCTGTTTGTGCACTGTGATCACTACCAGGAGAAAACATTCGTCTACCGCTTTTCTTTTTTTTAAGCCCCATGCATGCCAGATTTTTTTCAGATCTGTCAAATTATTCTCGTCCCCCTTCTCCTCCTCCCTGCCCCTCTACCCAAACCAAAATCCGATTGCGTTCCTAATGCAGAATATGTATTTACCAAATGCTGTGGCCAAATACCCGCCTATCTGAATGCTTGCTTCTAACGCCATTTAATCAAAGCGCACATGTGAACAAAAAAGCACAGGCCGCAGTCTGCATTGTTACGCGATGTTAATGAACCCAGATAGTGACATACCTAATTATGAAGCCGGAACAACATGTATAAACTGACTTATGATCCCCCTTTGGAGTCTTCAGTATGTAATAGTTCATACATACGTGCCCCTGGAGACCATTGTCATTTCACGACGAACCTTTCACAGGCAGCATTGGCGACAATGCAGATATATGTATATGTCAAAAGGAACTAAATAAGATTGACACTACTCTTCATGTCACCTTGACCCTAATGTATGTTCATATTTTTTGTTATATTTTATTCCAAGTTTTGAAGATCCCAACAAACTTTATTTTCTAAACCTGCTATCGTTTTGTTTTGTGTCATTTATTAACCACCTGAGGAGGGGTAAGAGGGAGGGGGGAGGAGCAGTGGGTCCATTCAGTGGGTCGTATGTCCTCAGGCCGACTCTTGTCCAGAAGGCCTCTTCTCATGTCCCCCCTGAGCTCAATGGGTAAATGGATGCTGCAGTGGGAGACGGAAGCTTGGTGAAAGGAAAACTTCCAAATGGTTAGAGGGGTCCAAGAGACGTGGACTGCCTTGGAAGGTGGTGAGCTCCCCTCCCCCTTCAGCCAAACACCCAAACACACACACACACACACACACACACACACACACACATCCCCCCACAGAGAACAGAAAACCGGGGGATTCTCAGGTAGGAATTGAATGCCTCTTCTTGAGGTCCTTTCCAAACCTTAGATTTCGTGATTATGGCATGGTTTCATTTGCTGAAAAGGTAACCTTTCGGTCATATATTAACATTCAGATATTTCTGCAGTTAGGTTTCAGGAGCTGTTCGTAAAAATATATGCCTTGTAAAAATCTGCACAGTTTTTCCCGAGGCGCTAACTAACCCCTGATGCCCTGCCCAGTGTCCCCCAGCACACTCCAGCCTAGGCTTGCTTCTTGCTTGGCCTATTAAAGCCATGTGGGCACCAGCTCATGAGCTGATGGGAGCTACCCTGGGAGGGATCACGTCTAACTTAGAGGCACCGTCACCCACGATGGACAAGTACGTCTGTCTTCACCAGGAAGCCTTGCAGCCCATAGGCAGCAGCTGCTCCCACATGAACTTCCTTCTGCTGTAGGAAGGGTCTAGCATCACCTGGCTTATGGATTAATACAAAATGTAGGATTTGGGGGAAGGGAGATGAAAGCCACTACAGAATTTAGCTCCTCAGAAAATCATCTATCCATCCCCAAAAGATAACAGGCTAAAGGCAATATGGCTACAAGCACAACTGCTCACCAGGGTGTCCTAACAGGGAGAGGCACCTAAAAGCTTGCTTCGTGTCAGTGGATTTGGAGTCTGAGGGCCCAGATCTGAATCTTGGCTCTGTCTCTGAGTGGCCTTGGCAAGTCTCTGGGCCTCAGTTTCCTTCTCTGTAAATGAGGGTGTGGGACTAGATGCCTCTAAAGTCTCTTCGGCTCTAATTCTATGACACTTTAGGACTTCACAGATCTTTGCAGAATGGGGACTCCCACTGACCCAGTCTGCAAGGGCAGCAAGGTCTCACTTCAGCCTTCTTTTTGCACAGAACTGGGTTCTGGGCTGAGCCAATAATTATAGTCCAAAGAAACGTTTTTTGAAAGGAGGCATTGTTGAGGCTTAGGCTAAAACACCCCCTTAAGTCCTCTGGTGATCCCCATTATAACAGCATTCGTTTCAAGAGGGCATCAGGGGGGCACCTTTAGCTACTCAGAAGAGATCTCTGAGAAGAAAAACAAAACTTCCAGCAGATGCTAAAAATCCTTTGATTGTGTTTATTTGCCAAACACAGCAAATCATAATGAAAGAAATTACAAAGTAAATGAAACCACCTCCCCTTGATTGATGTTAGTGAATTATTCTTGGGAAAAGTTAAACATTTATTTTCAGATTGCAAAACCATCAATGACAATCTCTCCTGTACTGCAAAAATACACACAAGTGCGCCTCAATGCCTGGAGAATGATTCCAGGTTTTCTGGTTCTTCATGAGTTCCCAGAATATCCATTGCCACCATCGAAACTTAGAACTGGAAATCCAGTTTCTCCCATTCAAGAGCTAATCAGAATTCAAGGTGAGGCACACTCCTTGTAGCACCCAGTGTGAAATGTGCCTTGTGGTGAAGAGATCTGCTTCAAAAACTAAGCCAATTCCCATTGCATTCCTTCTCATGGATGTGGTGTAGACAGGTGTCCGGAAAGTATTCTAAAGGCCACAGAGAGGAGAAAACAGTGAGATCTCAGAGAAGATCTTATGGGAATAAGAAATAGCCCATGTGGTGCCTCTAAGTTTTAAAGGAGGGATCATTCAATTGAGTTGCAGTGTGTCCATCCCACATTGAGAGGATGATGAGGTTATTAGAGGAAGGCTTTGACATTGGTATGATGATGACATGGGATGGCTTGTCAAAAGCTAGCCCAATAGAATCAAATTTCCATGAGACCCTATTTCCATGGGTTCCCTCTATGGCTATTCCAGAAACAAGCAGGTGAGCTGCCATCTTGAGCTTGCCATACCCAACAATCCCACCAAGAATTCCATAAGCAACTAGATCATCCTACAGGGATAGACTGTTAAAAAGCATTTCTTATCTAAAACTTCAGTCTAAAGAAGCAAAAGAAACAAGGAACTTGTAGAAAATCCATGAGAAGGAAGGGGGCTGAGAAAGAGGACTCAGGCCTGCTCCCTTTAACCTGTAGTTTGAGACGATGCGCTTCGATGGGGATTATCTTCAGAACGGGCAGGTCCACCACCAGGACTTTGGGTTTGCTCTTAATAAGGCAGCCTTTCTCAATGTCCCAGTCAGCACCTTCTAGATACAGCCCCGACACAAAGCATCCTGTAGATACCAGGAAAAAAAATGAGGAGCTGAAATCGTGGTAACAGATGATCGATCTTTGGTGATTAAGCAGACCATATGCTGTCCCAGAGCTAAGATCTCCCTGTGGTGCATAATCCCTGCAATGATATCCGTGTGCCTGTCCTCTGGGTCTCTCATCCACATCCACAGGGAAGTGACTCAACAGATATGAAGAAATTAAATAATGTAAATTAACTAAAAATCCTTCCCTTCTGGGAACCCAGGGGCTGAGGGGCAGGAGGGGAACCTCAGAGTTTTCCTCCACAGATCCTTGAGAAACCATGCCGTAGCGGTCATCAGTGCCCTAAATGATCAACAATTAAATGCAGATTGCAACTGCATGATAGCATGATGTTACATAAATCAACAGTTAGACCTGAGCCTTTCTGCATCCCTCCAGGAAGATAAAGAAGTGTCCTTGCTCAGGGGGCCTGACCCATCTGTCTCAGGACCCATCTCACCCAGGATTAGATCTTCCCTGGCATCAGCTCCAGCTACAAAATGCTAGAGGTACTAGCCATGTTTCTCACTGGGTGATGTTTCTGAAAGGTTCACGTGAAAGTAACAACTGTTAATATGTTTAACAACTTTTCTCAATTACTCCTTTTACTTTGAATTGGTTTGGAGATGCCCTCCACTTGTAAGAACTCCACTCAAAGGAGCAGCCTTCACCATCAAGGCCTTATGTGATGATGATGACGATGATGATGATGATATACAAGGTGAAGAGGAATGGGTGACATTGGACAGCTCATCTAGCTTGGGAATGTGGTCAGAGACGCAAGGTCAGGCCCCCTCACCCCTTCTGACTTGGTCCTACCACTGATAACTGAAGCCAGACCCAGCCAGGAGGTTCAGGCAGGAAGAGGCCGAGGGTGACAGAGGCGGCCTGCAGAGGGATGGACCCCCGGAGTTGACAATACCTTGTCCTGCTCGTTCAGTCACCTCGTCTGCATCCTGGAATTTGGTCACTTGGGTAAACAAGGTGGAGCGATCCAGGGGCCAGCCATTCTTCCGACAGGTGGCCTGAACCAGAGCTGTGAGATAGGACTCGGGGACGTGTAGCCCTGACAGCCACATCACGTTGGGGTCACTATCTAAAATCTGGAAAGAAATAGAAAAGGGTGACCCTGTCACCTTCTTCCCGCCTTACAACAATGAAGCCCCAGACGCTTCTCTGCCCCTCCCAGGGGTCAGCCCTCGGGCGGCATGCGCAAGCAGGCTTCGGCAGAGGAAGGGCTCTTCTTAAGTTGCTGCTTCTGTTGCTGAGGAAACGCCATCACCCACGCCTTACCCAAGTCGTGTACTGAGCAAATCTCCGCAGGAAGTACACCATCCAGTTTCCAAGGGTCTTCAAGGTGTCAGGGGCGAGTTTCCTCCAGATGCCTGGGATGTTACCAATAAAAAGGGCCCGGGCAACATCATCCAGTTCATTGCTCATGCCGACTTCCCCAGCCAAGGCCTGCGGGCAGAATGGACAGAGCCCAAGCACAGGCAGCTCAGAAAACACTCCTCGAGCCCCGACCTCGCCCGCCTCCCTCCCACCTCACCCCACTCACCCTCTGGAGTTCAGCCAGAGATTTCGTCATGCGGATGGTCAGTTTGTTGAAACGCTCCAGCTCCTGCAGCAGCACCACCGTCGTGGGAGAGATGCCCAGTCCCAGGTGTTTGCGGATACTGTCCAAGTCAAACACTTTGGGCATTTTGTTTTCGATGTCCCGGGCAACCTGGGTGATGTAATCCTCCCGGCCGATGCCAGTGACAGATTCCCCTGAAACAGAAATACTGTTGAGCAAGGTCAACAGTCATCGGGGCCTCGCCCTCCAGGCAGACTGCTGATGCCACCTGTTCTCAGGAAAGCATCAGTGCAGTGGGGAAAGGGGAAAGGGAAGGAGAGAAGATTCATATCACCCCGAGGTGGACAAAATACCTCCGTGAGAGGACTCTACCTGTCTGTGGCTGTAATTCCAACAGGTGAGACCACATGGCCCGAGCAGCTTGGGTGTAGTATCCAATCTCAGCGTTTGAATGGAGCCCAAACACCTCTGGTGTGTTGGCGAGGGGAAGCGACTCAATTGCTTCTATAAAAGAGCGTAAGCAAAAGAAACTGGGACCTGTCATAGGAATGAGCAGACCCCTACGGGCAGAAGCCTTTGGAGCAAGAAAGGGACCCCAGAGACAGCAATGCTGATTCCCATAATAGTCATATTAATAATAACAATGATAGCTCTCATTTATGTAGTACTTTAAGGTTTGCAAAGTGCCTTGCACATAATATTTCATCAGTCTCTTTTGAGGAGTGATTGACTTTTTTTGGGGGGGGGGAGCCTGGCTCCCTATCTTAGCCAGGCTAGAAGCATAGTAGTCATTCACAAACCCAACCCCACCAGTGACTCTACAGGAGCTTTGACCTGCGCCATTTTCCACCTGGCTCAGTTTGTCCCCTCCTTAGACAACGTGGTGGTCCCAGAAGCTCATCCCACTGGTTCCAGATTTGGCATGGACACGTCATCAACTTTAGCCCCAACTCCTGTGTTCCACCAGCCATGGCCTTCCCAGTCGCAGGGACTACAGGTGTGCACCACTGCACCCAGAAGGTGTGGTTCTTTTAAACAAGGACGCCCCTGCACTCCAGAGGTTTGTTTCTTGGGGAAGTTGATGGAACAGCTCACCGCTAACATGGTCCCCTCACAGAAGGCGGGTTATACATTATCACAAGAGAATGCCAAATGTACATCAGGGGCTAGGGCTTAGAATGGCCAGTTTGGTCTACAAAAGGGAAGTCACTGACCAAACAAGACATCCAAGCGTACCCTCCAGAAGTCCAACTAGATAAAGGATGAGGGGAATTGCTGCAGAAATGGACGTCACCAAAACCTTTTTTTTGGGGGGGGGGTCAGAATTAGTTACATTTTACAGTATCTGAGCAGTCTCACCTACAAAATGCTCCTTGGTTTCACCCTCTGGGATTTTATAATCTACTTCCTTATTCCGGAAGAAGTGGAACGGTTGGAACGTGTCAAAGATGAAATCCCCTAGATACTCGTCCATGTAGATGGTCAGGATGCGCCGGTCAAAGCTGTCGATAGCCCGGCCTCCATACATGACCTACACACAAGGCAGAATCCGCCTAAGTGCCCAGCAGGGGACCACTGGCTGGACTGGCGTCACAGCTAGGACAGGATGGGGACTAGGCCTGGGATTTCACTCCCAGAGGGAGCTCCTGACAAAGAAACACTCTTTAGCAAGGCAGAGAATTTCTTGGGAACATGGAGAAGCTGAGTGATTCACTTGGGTGACCTGCACACAGCCAGAAAGGGACAGAGGTGAGACCTGAGACGGGGTCTTCCCAATCCGGCAGCCAGCTCTCTGTCCTCTAGACCACCCATCTATGTACAGAACAGGCATGATTTTCAAAGTTACCTTGTAACTTAGTTTTCTGACTTCCTGCAAGAGAGGACCCCAAGCACCCCCAAACTGGCAAGCAGCACTTTTTAAATGATGATCGTGGTGATCATTAACCTATCAATGGTTGGGGGGGGAGGGGACAAATTCCTTTGCAGATTTTGGATCCAAGCAAATACATGTAACAACGCCTGAACTTCTGAGCCTTTGAAAGGTCCATCCATGCCAAATGACCTCAGCCGTGTGGCACAGAGGAGCAGAGAAGGGCTGGGTGGTATGCTTAGGCACCCTGGCCATGAAGAAGAATCAAGTCTGATTCACTAGCGTTTTCAGTGGGCTGTACCTATGCTGCATCTCCAGACCCCTTTATCAGGCTGTTTAACAGGAGAGATTCCAGGGAGCCCCCATTTGGGTCTCTGCTTGAAACAAGAATCCACGGGATGAAGGAGAGAGGGTGACGAGAAGCCAGGCTGCTGCTCATACACGTGCATCTGCTTTGGCCCCGGCAGACATTCAGGAGTGACGCCATCCAACATCGGGCCCCACCAGAGCCCCCTTCTTGCCCTTCACCCTCTGACCCTGGAGGCATTCCTGCGGAAGGCCAGGCTTACCTCTCCAATGAGATACTTGAGACTCCCCCAGGGGATTTTGTTGTCATTTTGTTGGAAGGCTTTTGTCAAGTATGTGTTCAAGATCTCCATGCAGACCTAGGGAGGGAAGTCGAGGTGTGTAAAGACCAGGGGAGGCCTTGCTTCCCCACAACCCGCCCAGCCTCTTACTCTTTAGACCCTGGAAATAGACCCCCGCCCCCCATTCAATCCTGAAGGTGCCGCAGTACTGAAACAAGCGCCCGGGGGAGAAAGAGGCATGGTGGCATCAGCAGCACCATCTTAAACCTGGAAATCAGACTCATTGAAGTCATAGGGCACGTTCCAGCCGATCTTGCCAAACTTTCTTCTCTCCTGCACGACTGCATGGAAGAAGGCCAGCACGTAGATCAGGGACTTGTAGGCAGGGTGAGGACACTGATCCAGCATCTCATGGGAGATCTTGAAGTAGGTCGCCCTCATGTTCAACTTCAGGCCGTTGGGTGGCTCGGTGACCACCTTCAGAGAAGAGGAAAGAAGCCGGACTGAGTGTATCGGCTCCACGGTGCACGGGAACTGTGGGCGGCTAAGGGGGTATGGTTCTGCTTCTCCTCCCGCGCTCCTGGTCCCCCAGCCAAGGATGCACATGGTGCTCTCAGTGGTACAAGATCTAGGTTTCGATGTGGCCCCTGAAGAAGCCCCTGAACATCTCTCATTGGTGGGTTCTTGGCCTATCATGTGGAGGGGATTAAAATCTTCTCCACACCAGCCCTGTAGTGGGGCTGGGGGATGCATTATAAAAAAAAAAAACCACTTCTAAAATAATGCCTGTGATAATCGATTGAACAATGTGGGTCGACTATTCTGAGCTGATGGGAGTGGGGGTGAGGTGGAGAAGCCTCTGGTAAGAATAGAGTCTGGGTATTGCGGCCGTCTCTGGGCCCACTCTTGGACCATGGGCAGGTCCCTGGGCAGGTAGAAGGCATGGTCTGTGCTCTGGCCTCTTCTAAAGGACACACGAAGGCCAGTTGTGCATGTCCATTATCAAGGGACCAGAGCACAGGTCCCCACCCGACCTCAGGTACATACATACTCCTCGGGTTGGCCCCCACTACTCCACAGACACCCCATGTGTGCCTGCACTTTCACAATAGCGGGTAGAGACACAATTGCTCATCTCTATGTCCACGTGCAGTAAGATGGTTTCCTCCCACTAACAATATTTGATCATTCAAAAAGACTTTTCTCCCAAGGTGCCAGCCATGTCCCATGCATTCAAAAAGCTAAAAAAGATTCCTTGATATGATTTCCTCCAGCCCCTTCCTTTTTTTTTTTTTTTTTTTTTGCTTTTTGGTGAGGTAATCAGGGTTAAGTTACTTGCCCAGGGTCACACATAGCCCATAACATCTGGAGAGGAAGAGTAACTTCCCTAAAGTCACAGCCTGAGCCAGCAGAAAGATTCAGAATTCAAACCTCTCTCTTGTGCCATCCCTCTGCCCCTCCCAAGCCAAGACCCTCCTTCAACAACGACTGAAGATGGCAGAGCAGGAAGGCAGAAGGGGATGGTCTCCATTCTCCCTGCTGAGCCATCTCTCCAGATGGTCCCCTCCCAGACAGTTGCTGGGCATCCGGTAATAAGGACGGATGGATAGAAAGACTCACGGCCGAGTCTGTGTCTCCCAGTCCCGTACCTTTAAGGACTTCTGCAGGATTCCGATGGGAAAGCCTTTAGTGGGGTCAGTGGTGAGCCACAGGCGGAAGTCTGGGTGGGGCCTTGTGATTCTCTCCAGAGACTTCTCCAGGTCCTTAAGCCATTTGACAAGGAGGTGGCAGTTCTGCAGCATCAGCCACTGACCCCGGGCCACAGCGGTCCCCAGCAGATGCAATGCCACCTGTGCCAATCACAGCAGAAAAGTCATGAGCTGGTGCCTCCGAGCAGAAGAAGCCCAGCCCCGTCCTTTCACGGAAGAGTGGCCTAGGGAGATGGCAACGTGACTTAGCCACACAGCTAGTACGGGTCAGAGGCAAGGTTTGAAAACCACAACTCCGTAAGCATTGTGGGAGAGGCAGCCCGGCCCCGGGATTCAGGTCCTACCCTGTCTTATTCTAGTGGTATAACCCAAGGTGAATCACCAAACCTCTCCATCCCCCAACCCCAGCTCCCTAAGACTATTCATTATGGAGGAGTCCCTGCTCCGGGGTGGTGGATGGTGCTTCCACACCAGAAGCTCCTTACAGCACTAAAATCATGGGTCTGAACCAAAACCCAATACTCTCCCTTCAACCTATCGGACCCAGGCCTTGCCCCAGCAGAAGTCCAGACACTACTTGTCCCAGGGACTCATTCCAACCTCAGCATATCGTGCAGAGGGTTGACTTTTCTACATGGAACAGCAGGGAGTCAGCAGCTGGCAGCTGCTCACGGGGCAGGCACACAGCTACACCCAGGCAAACCCAGGTGGATTTTAGACAACTGCACACTATTTAGAATATCACAAGTGTAGCAACTCTGCTCTGTGGTGACCATGCTGAAGGTGCAGACCCTACACTCTGTTTCAGGAAACATGGAATACATGTTCTGTTCATCATAATCTCTTCCTCAACATTAAAAAAAAAATCAAATTTCCCAAAGCAATGGTCTCTCCTTTATCACAGTGGCTTGAGAGGACCGCATTGGCTGATCACATTGTGCCAAAAGCCTTCATGGGCTTATGTTTCCTTGGTCATAATTCGGCCCTCAATATATCTGAATCTGTGTAATAAAAGGATGCTCATATGAAATTCCGAATTAGTTACTATTCCATAAAGACAGAAATGCAACTCATTTTCAGGAAAGGATCTGTAGGGAAAACTGTCCTTGGGTTAATGAAGGTAAATACCAACATACAAAAGCTACCTCAACTTCCCAGATAGCAAGACCACCCCTGCAAAGACATACAAACAGACACAGACAGACAGACAGACAGACACACACACACACACACACACACACACACACACACACACACAGAGACTTTAGGAACTGAACTTCACCAGAACAAATTACCTTCTCTTGGCCTTGACCCATTGCAAGGAATTTGAGACGATTTCCTCCAAAGCCACATCTATCAGCTAATTTCATCAGATCACTGGCAGGGTCTGAGCCAGGACTCAGAATGAAAACAATGGGTGAATTTGGAGTGCTCTGTTCAAAAATGGCTTCAAAGCTGATCATTGGGGGTTGAACATACCTAGGCAGGAGAAAGAGTGCAGATAAGGTTTCTTCACTTGCTCATAGAATTATTCTCCTCTCTTTAGGGAGGAAATTTAATTAGCGGATGATCCTTGAAGTTGGGAACATGAATTCAATGTCAATGGCTTTCTTGACATTCATCAACTACAGCTGGGAAAGGAGGGTAGAGATCTCCAAATTCAAAGTCTAGTCAACACTGCCCATGATCTGTCGAGCAGACAGAAATTCAATAAGAAAAAAAATGTAAACATGAAGGAAGACATGAAGGAAACCAGACAATCCAGATGACTGAGAATTCAATCACAAATCTGGGGGTCCATCATCACAAAGAACACCACTATCCCTTTGTATGGGATGTGCATAGACTAGCATGTGCATGGAAAACCTTTAACAAAATCCTCCCCTGAAAGAAAAAATTTTAAAAAAAAATCCTCCTGTCATGCCCATCATGGTAGGACATGACCTGGGTCATTGGACGCTCTGCTTGGGGGACACAAGCACCAGCAGGTGCTACCAAGCTGGAAAGACTTTGTGTGTTCCCCAAGTGACCGATAATATCTCTGTGATCCAAGGCCCAGTACAGCTAAAAGGATAGCCCCCAGAAATTCTTAAAAACTATCCATGAAGTCATGTAGGGGTTGCAATGGACCCTGGTGAAACAAGCATCCACCAACTTTCTACCTGACCTCTCACCTCTCCCCGCTCCAGCCCATCCTCCACAAAGCTTCCAAAGTCACATGCCTAAAAGCACAGGGACACATTGCTATCTTGCTTGAGAAGTTTCAGGGGCTCTCTATTGCCTCTAGGATGAAACACAAAGTCTTCTGTTTGGCATTTAAAGCCCTTCATGATCTGACTCTGGCCTTTTTATTTACGACTTCCTCCTTTTAACACTAGCCATTATTCTCATCAGTTTTCGTGGATGTAATTACCACCTCCATGCTGAAGATTCTCAAACCTACCTCTCCTGCCCCAACCTCTCTGCTGACCCCCAGTCTCACATCTCCAACTGCCTTTCAGACATCCTGAACTGGAAGTCCAGTAGACATTGTAAACTCAACATGTCCTAACAGAACTCATTAGCTTTCTCCCTAAACCCTCTACCTTCCCTATTACTACAAAGGCTCCATCATCCTCCTAGTCCCTCAGGCTCAGAGTCATCCTGAATTCTGCACCATCTCTCACCGCTCCCCCCCCAAAATCCAAGCTATTGTCAGGCCTGTGGATTTCACTTTTGCGACATCTCTCAAATACGCCCCCTTCTCTCCTCTGCCATTGTTCCCACCCTAGAGCAAACCCTCCTCACACCTGGACTATCACAATAGCAGCTGGTGGGTCTTTCTGCCTCAGATCTCTCTCCACTCCAATCCATCCTCCATTCAGCCGCTGAAGTGACTTTCCTAGAGCACAGGTTTGACCGTGTCACCCCCCTCCTCAATAAACTCCAGTGGCTCCCTCTTACCTCTAGGATCAAAGACAAAATGCCGTTTGTTGTTCAAGGCCCTTCATAACCTGCCCCTCCCTACCTTTCCAGTCTTCTTACACCTTACTCCCTGACACATATTCTGTGGCCTCCTGGCCATTCCTTGAACAATCCAAGGGTTTTCTCAAGGTCTTCCCCAGGCCTGCAACACACTCTCCCTTCAACTCTTCCTATTGACCTTCTGGGCTTCCTTCAAATCCCATTTTCTACAGGGAGCTTTTCCCAACCTCTCTTAATTCTAGCACCATCCCTCTCTTCATTATTTCCTATTTTACTTCTCTAATTATTTATCCCGTCCATAGCTTGTTTGTACATATTTGTTTGCTTACTGTCTCCCCCATTAGACTGGAATCTTCTTGAGGGCAGGAACTGCCCTTTGCCTCTTTTTATATCCCAAGTGCTTAGAGTCCTCCCTCTCAAGACTACCTTGTATTCATTTCGCACACCTTGTCTACATGTTGTTTTGCCCAACAGATTGTAACCTCCTGCAGGGTAGAGGCTGTCCCTTTTGTCTCTCTACCCCCAGTCATCAGCACAGTGCCTGGCACATAGGCAATGCCTAATGAATACTTGTGGATGGACTGACTGATTGATTAAGTTAGGATCATCACTTGTGCAGCTGTGAGGAGGATGGGTTAGGAAGTTAGAAAATGGAGGGAGACCAATGAAGGAATTACTGTCAGACTAGTTGAGGCTAGAGGTGGAGACCTTCAAACAACCATTTTTCAGGGATGTGATGAGGATTCCTAATATAAGTACGGGTCAGACACTAGATGGTATCTGATGTCTATTCCAACTCTTTTCTTTTTTTTTTTTTGGCTAGGCAGTGGGGTTAAGTGACTTGCCCAGGGTCACACAGCTAGTAAGTGTCAAGTGTCTGAGGCCGGATTTGAACTCAGGTCCTCCTGACTCCAGGGCCGGTGCTCTATCCACTGCACCACTTAGCTGCCCCTATTCCAACTCTTAAATAATGGGTTGGGGGTCCTGAGAGATGAAGGGATTTGCCCAGGATCCCATGGCCAGATTGTGTCAGAGGCAGGATTAGAATCTGCCTCCCTAACTATGACACCAGTTAGCTCTCTAGCTGTTATGAATTTTCATAGGCTTTTAGAGCAGGTACCTCATCTGTCTCATTTGATGACTAATTCAAATGTAGCTTCCTGACACTCTTAGCATGTTTTTACTGAGGTGGACAGTGCATATTGATATACACATCTTCTTTGCGGTGAGCGCAGAGATCCCAAAGCTTTCTCCGTCATTACAAAACTCTTCCTGAAAGTCGCAGGGAAGATGACGAAGGCCACAGACAGGGCTAAGCAAAAACCTCTTACTTACTTTTCCCCCATGGTCACAGTCACATAATCAGTAACTGCCCGATATACCCGGTCCACTCGGAAACATCGCAGAAGAAGCAGCTTCTCAAAATCAGTCACACGGCTGTCATAGCCCAGGGGGAATGGAAACTGTTCCAGTGAATCCAGGTCATACCACTGGGACAAAAGATGGCAGAGTTGATCAGATCAGAAAAGATATGGGCCCAGCTGTTACGGGACAGTCTCTGCTTTCCATCTCATCTCCAGCCAACCAGCTTAAAGTCTAGCTCAACAAGGACAACTTAATTTAGTGATGCTTGTGGATTTCCAGCTTATAAAGAGGTATCAAGAGGGGAATGGGGATGAAATGCAGAGATACAGTCCGTTACTTACCAACCCAAAAAAGTATTCTGGTCTAGAAAGGCCTTAACCTTTAAAGTTTAGATTCTTAACTTTTCTTGTGTCATGGACCCCCCTTTGGCATTTAGTCTGGGGCAACCTACAGACCTCAGAATCATATTTTTAAATGCATAAAATAAAACAGCCAGAATTACAGCCTATCAGTTAGGAAACAAATGATATTGAAATGCAGTTAGCAAAAAAAACTTTTTTTTTTTTTTAAATAAAGTCAGTGGACCCCAGGTTAAGAATCGCCGGCTTCAACCAAAGTTATAGTTTGGGGATTGGAAGGCAATTAGGAGAAGATGCAAGCGTGTGCAGACACAGTCACGTCGCTCACCTCCTTCCAGATGTGACTCTGCTTCTCTACATCGTCAGGAAGTCTCCCAAAGGTGTCTGGAAATAGCTCAGATAAAAGCATAATGTCTTCCCAGCCCTGATCAGCCAGCCAAGTGCAAGGCTTTTTTCGCTTGTTCTTCTCCAGGGAAATGTTTCCTGTTCACAGCAAGGGAAGACAAGGAACCCTTATGGCCTGCCGGTGGACACCAAGAAGACACACAATCCGGAGCACTCCCCTTTCTCTCGTATGTGGGCAAAGGGATACAGGAATCAAAAGAGAATGGTCACCATTTCCCTTAAATGAGTCCAATCCGTCAAACCCAGACGTGACGGCTCACTGCAAAATCAGCACAGCTACAAAGGGAGAAGCCAAGTTGTAAATCTAATCCAATTCGATTTGGGTTTTCAGTAGACTTTTTTAACGTCTTCAATACAGATTAGGAAAGTTGGGGGAGAAATGTGAAATTGTGCAAACTCGTTTCATTACCTTTCAAAAAGAAATCCAGCTCGTCCTGAGGGACTCTGCCATCCGCTTGCTCTATCTTGATGGTCATATTAAAAGAAAAGAGCAGCTTGTGTCTTTCAAATAACCCTGTGATGAAAACACCAGGGAAGACTGAGGAAGCGTCCACTCCAATCCAGTCAGTTGGTCAGCCCCTCACAAAAGGGCCCCTCCACCCCCTCTGCTGCCCAGCTATCCTGGCCTGCCCACCCTTCCAACAGGGCACACCACACCTCCTGGCTCAGGCCAGGGACACTCCTCACTCCTCCCCTCCTCTTCCAGGCTCCCCTGGCTTCTTACAAGACTCAACTCTCATTCCCATCTTCAGCAGGAGGCCCTTTCTGGTCCCTCTAGCTGATAGTGCCTTCCCCTTCAGATTACTTTCCACCCATTCTGTATGTGGCTGGCATGGACCTAGTTAATTACATGGTACCCCCCACCCCATCAGGACAGGAGCTCCTTGAAGGAAGGGGACCGTGGTTGTTAGTTGCTGTTGTTATTTGAGGGTTCTTTTGCCTTGATACATATAGCCAGTGCTTAGTACAGTCATCTAAGGCTATTTTAAATTGAATGGGGAGTGGGAGAAGGAGAGGGAAAGATAAATGTTTGTTAATTAAAAAATAAAAATTTTTAAAGAAAAAAAGTAACTTTAGTTAAACCTCACTTCCTTTTTTGATCAAGTTTCTAGATTGGGGATAGAAATATCTCGTGTTTGTAGATAAAACAAAAAGATGCAGGTTAAAATGATAGAAGAGTTAGGAGGATTTGGAACAGATTGAAATGACAGAACACCACTTAAGAGATTGCTATCATTTTGAAGGGCATTTTGGAGGGGAATGTTCCAGGGATCTATCCTTGGCCCTGGGCTGCTAAACCTTTTTATAAGTGACTTGAATGAAGGTATAAATGGTATTCTTATCAAATGAGCAGATAACATGAAGCTGAGAAGGATGACTAACACACTGAATGGCAAAATTCAGATAGAAAAAAATGGGCTGAAACAACAAAGAAAATCAGAACTGAATGCTATATAATTATAATGAATAAATTTGATCCTGAAGAAGAGAAAGGATATGAAAATGCACGTCCCTTCTTTGCAGAGGTGGGAGACCAGAGGTTTGGAATACTGTATATGCTGTCAGATTTTGTTGAGGTATTGTTTAGTTTTGCTAAATTACTTTCCCCCCCCTCCCCTTTTTACTCTTTCCTATAGGGCAGGGCTTCTTAAACTTTTTCCACTCCTGACCCCTTCAGTACTTCTTAAACTGTGGGTCGTGACTGTGGGTCATGACACCACAGTTTAAGAACCACTGCTAGGGTATAGCATTCTGGGCAGGGGTGGAAGGAAGGATATTTTGGGAAATGAAAGTCAGGTAAAAACAAAAGCTATCAAAATTTTTAAAAAGAAAAGAATGTCTAGTGAAATGGAATTTAATAGAATAAATGTAAAGTCCCATATTTGGATTCAAGAAATCAATTGCACAAATACAGAATAAGGAAAAGTATGACTAGATAACAGTTCTTGTGAAAAAGTACTGGGGACAAGGGGCAGCTAGGTGGCCCATTGGTAGAGCTCTGGCCTTGGAGTCAGGAGGAACAGAGTTCAAATCAGACCTCAGACACTTGACACTTACTAGCTGTGTGACTCTGGGCAACTCACTTACCCCCACCATTGCCTCACCAAAAGGCAAAAAAAAAGTACTGGGGACCGTAAGTGTTACATAAAGCAACAGTGAAATGTGACAACCAAAAAAAAAAAAAAATACAATCTTCATTGCATTATGAGAGGACATGTCCAGAACAAAGAAAGTGACTAGAACTAGAATAAGAGAGGGATGCTGGTGTATATCCAGAGGAGGGTGACCAAGATAGTGACAGACCTGGATATGCTATACCAAGATACCATTGTATAAAAGGAAAGGAAAAACGGTATAGTCAAGAACGTTGGACTTAAGTCATGAGACATGGGTTCAAAGCACAGCTCTAACCCTGGGGAAATCTTCACATCTAAGCCTCAGTTTCCTCAACTGTAAAATGGTGGTGATAATATCTGTACCACTTCCTTCATAGGATTGATGCGAGGAAAATATTTTGTTAACTTACACTATAGTAGCACTACAGAAAAATTGATTATTATCCTAGCTGTCTTCAAGGACAGAGAGAGAGGAGAGAAAGAAGAGAGGGAAAGAGAGAGGAGGGGAGAGAGAAAAGAGGGCAAGGAAAGAAGAGAGAGAAAGAGAGAGGAGAGGAGAGAGAAGAGAGAGAGAGGAAAGAGAGAGGAGAGAAAGAAGAGAGAAAGAGAGAGGAGAGGAGAGAGAAGAGAGAGGAGAGAGAAGAGAAAGAGGAAAGAGAGAGGAGAGGAGAGAGAAAAGAGAGGAGAGAGAAGAGAAAGAGGAAAGAGAGAGGAGAGAAAGAAGAGAGAAAAAGAGATAGGAGAGAGAAGAAAGAGGAAAGACAGAGGAGAGAAAGAAGAGAGAGAAAGAGAGAGGAGAGGAGACAGGAGAGAGAGGAGAGAGAGAGAGGAGAAAAAGACAGACAGAAGAGAGACAGAGAGACATAGAGAAATACAGAGAGAGGAGAAAAACAGAGACCAACAGAGACAGAGAAAGACAGACAGAGACAGAGACAGACAGACAGACAGAGAAGTAAGAGATTTTTGCTTGAAATACAAACCAGTTGGCTAACAATTAGAGCTTTATAAAATTACGATTCTCTGCCTCAGAAAGAAGCAGGTTCTTCTCCCTGTAGACACTAGATGAATACGTTGTGTGGATATTCTTATTCAGGTAAAGGATGGACTACGTGATCTCTGAGGTCCCTTCCAAATCGGAGATTCTGTCATTCTGACATTTTAACAAACCTTTCTTCTTATAACCTGAATTATCAACCACAATCTCTGTAAACACAAATTTTCATAGACAGGTTTCCCTAAAGGCAGGGACTGCACGTATTATACTTAAATTACCACAACTTGTGTGACTGACCTAACCCCCTTAAATTCAGTAATTACTACTGAGTGCAATGCCCACAAAACTAAGGACACGTATTCATCTGTCTAGAGAGGCATGCCCACCTGTGCAGCCGTAGTTGTAGATGTTGAAAGTTAGAGTGTCCATAATGTTTTTTAACCTCCTTGAAAGATAAGAATCAGGCAAAGATTTCTTAAGTGAGAAAGTGAAGACCTCTAAGAAGGCGGACAACGAATACTGATACATGGTGTTCACGAGTGCCATTTCTGATAAAACAAAGAACAAGATGGCGCCCCTCTTGGCAGCAGGCCGGTAGCCGTCACGCAGTCGGTCAATGTCCACTGCTGTCTTTTCAGCCAATTTTAGTTTCTCTGATACCTAAAGGAAAGGTCTGCATCAGAACATGTTTGTTTGTTTTCACATAAAGGAAATCTGTAAAATCGTGAAGGTGCCATTTTGTGACAGGCTGGAAAATTAGGAGGGAAAGAAAAGCAAGACACGAGTATGATACCTACAAGTAACTGAAAGAAATCTGCCAGGCCAATGAGACTCAGAGGGCTGGGCTGCCCTGCTACAAGGGCTCCAGGATGCAAAGTCATAGTTTGTCGGCAGCTTCGGTCTCTGGCCACAGCTCTAAGTACGGCATCTCCCCCACGTTACCTGCCTCTTCCTTGGCCCCCAGGCCCCCCTGACTCCACACCCGTCACTCTCTCCCCTACATGTAATGGTGACCCCAGAGGAGCAGCCTTGCGTAAGGCACACGTGGGGCGAGTAGCGATGCCACGCGCACACGGCCAACGTGTGCGCAAGGAGCTGCCCTTACCTCGGTGGCTTTCATCTTTGCCTCCTCGAGCGTCTGCACCAGGTCCACGTTATCCAACATGTTGCCCGTGGACGTCGCCAGCTCTCGGAGGAGGGAGTCTTCCAGGTCTTTCAGCAGGTTTTTGTTCTCGCTCGTCTCCTGGATGAGGTGCTCTCTCTGCTCCTCCAGCTCTCTTCTCTCGTAGGCCACGATGACGCTGAGCAGCTGGTCCTCGAGGCCTTTCAATGTGACTACGGACAGGACACGGAGACTGATCTTATTTTCAGGATTTTTCAAATACACAGTGCTTTCCGATTTTTTATCGGTCCTTGTGTCATCACATAGTACAAGTCAGTCAGTGCACAGAGCCAGAAGTGCGGCACAGCCCCTGCGCTTGAGGAGCTCATAGTCTATCGGTGAATACAACGTGAAGATGCAAAAGTAAATGATAATTGCAAAGATCAGGGAGAACGTCCTCTAGGAAGGAGATGGCCCACAAACTTTAGAACTGAAGGAAGAAAAGAATCTACGACATAGTGGTGAGGAGAGAGGGAGAGAGGGCATTCCAGAGAGAGAGAACAAAACTAGAGTTTTGTTACTATGCCAGCTGTCTTCAAGGACAGAGAGAGACGAGAGAAAGAAGAGAGAGGAAGAAAGAGGAGAGGAGAGAGAAAAGAGAGAGAGAGAGGAAAAAGAGAGAGAGAGAGAGAGAGAGAGAGAGAGAGGAAAGAGAGAGGGGGGGAGAGAGAGAGAGAGAGAGAGGAGAGAGACAGAGACAGAGACAGAGACAGAGAAGAAACGGGATCCTGAGTTCAGCAAGTAGTAAAAGGCTACTTTGGCTGGAGCAGGGATTGTGCGAAAGGGAACACCATGAATATCTGGAACGTGAAGAGGAGTAATGGAAAATTATCTCGTATTTACTTATCTCTGCAAATGTTGTAGATCCTAAGTAGAATGTAAACTCCTTTAGAGAAAGTGACCATTTTGCCTTCACATCTCCAGTGCCCACCACAGGGCCTGGCACATGGTAGATACTTACTGTTTGTTGTTTGTCCTTCCTTCTTGGAGAGGACCAATGACATCAGGAAGGTGATGTCATGACTTACACGTGAATTGGATTTAAGTGAGGCAGCGCTGTGCAAAGTCACCAGCCTCACTTTCTCCCCCGAGCCATCTGGGTCCAGTGGCTAGATATAGATCAGGAGGACTGGAGATGGACCCGGATGCTGTGGGAGACTTGGCCTTTTTAAGTTAACATCTTTTCTAGGTCTCAGTTTGTCTGAGGCAACGCCCATTCAGTGATTAAGACTAGGTAAGAAAGGAGGCAAAGAATGGCCTCTTTTATCTATTAAAAAAAACAATCAGTCTAGGAGGGGAGGACCCGGGGTTTCTGGCCAAAACAGAAACAATTGCTATTTACATTCACTCTGAGCCATCAGAACCCAAACCATGCCTTGCACATGGTAGATGCTTATAAATGCTTACTGAATAGATGAATAAAAAGTAAGCTACAGTCAGATTGTGAAGGACTTCAAAAGCTGTACTTTATCCTAGACTGGGGAGCCACTGAGTATTCTCAAACAAGGGAATGACATTGTTAAAACGATGCTATAGAAGTGTTAGTTATCAGTATTATTATTATTATTAAACTGGAATTCGGCAACCACAATGGAGGATTTAGCTTTAAATCTAATGATACTCTGGGAGGACTCCATAATCACAGCTCCTTGAACAGACAGAGCACTAGACTTGGAATAAGAGAGATCTGGGTTCAAATTCTGACTCTGACACTGTGTGACTCCCAGAAATTCAGTTCACCTCTGTAGCACTCAGTTTCCTCAACTCTAACATCAAGGGGTGGACTGGATGGCTTCCGAGACCTCTTACAGGTCTAAATCTATGACCCAATGATTCAAGACAAGGATCCTGTCCGTTCTCACCGGTGTAGTTGATCACCATGGCTTTTCCAAACACGGATGGAGAATATTTGGGATTGGCCAGTTTGGTGTTCAGGTAGAGTTTGAAATTCACATCATAGTCAACTTCTTTGTCCCCCAATATGATGAACTGTCGTCCCTGAATGTTTTTCACATTTTTTTCCAATACGTTATCAATCACTGGGTCAATATATTCATCCACATCTTGGAACAAGAAAGGGGTACCGTACTTTATGGACATTTCAAGCTGTTTGAGGAAATCGGGGTCATTAAAAGAAGCAACCTGAAAAAAGACCATAACAAATGGAAAGTGAATACACCCTCACCAAAAGAGGGGGAGCTGAGATTCTTAGTCTTTTTTTGCATCCCAGACCCCATGGGCAGTCAATCTGGTAAGGCCTCTGGAGCTTTTCTCAGGATAATGTTCTTAAATGGACGTAACAAAATACATAGGATTGCAAAGGAGCTAATTACAGTGAAATACAGTTCAGTTATCAAAATATTTTTAATAACCAAGTTCTTAGATCACTGATTAAGAGCCACTGAGTAGAGGAATGGGGTGCCAGTAAAGGCTGCCTTTGAAATGGAGAGCAGAAGTGCTAGAAGACAAAAGAGGGCAGAGATTGGAACAAGGAAGTGTGTAAGAGAGAAGAAAGTGTGTGTGTGTGTGTGTTTCTGTGAGTACGTCTCTGTGTGTGTCTACGTGTCTCTGTGTTCATCTGTATCTATGTGTATCTGTATGTCCATATGTCTGTGTGACTATATATGCATATATCCATACACGTTCATGTGTCTGTGTGTGGGTGTGAAGCCCAGGAGGGAAGTGCTAGCTGGAAAGGAAGAAGCTGTGGTCACTCGCTCCACATTTGCTGGCAGTGTCACAGAACCAGGACAGAAGGGTCCTCGGAGGCCATCTCATACACCATGTGCCTGCCACAGAATCCTCTCCACTCCAGCCCCAGCAAGGGGTCAAGCAGCCTTCCCTTGAGGGCCTCCACTGAGGGGGAGCCCTCTGCCCCCCAGAAAAGCCCCCTCCACTTTTATGCAGCCCTGATGAGCTGACATTGCTGTTTCCCTACATCAACCCCAAAGCTGCCTCTCTGCACCTTCTACCCCTTGGCCCACACTTGGCTGTTGAGGCTAAGAGGACTGAGTTTAATCACTCTTCCATATTGGAAGTTAGCTCTGATATACCCCCATAAAGCAAAACATTGCCATCTCATTCTACACATCCTCATACTGCATGAGCTCAAGGCCCTGAATCACCTTGATCACACTCCTTTCTAAAACATGGCATACGTGATTGAACATGATCCCCCAGACACAGCCTGACCAGGGCAGAGGACAATGGAACCAGGACTTCTCCCACTGGGTTTTTGGCTGCAATGTCACATTGTTACCTCCTATTGAGCCAGGAGGAGAGGAGAGCAATCTGTATTTCCTTATTCTGAGGACCTCCTGATGTGGAAATCCCTCCACCAATGCAGACTGGCAACTGCTCTGCAATTTATAGTCTTTGAGAGTCGTCTGGGCTCTGAGAGGTTAACTTACTTGCCCAGGGTCACACAGTCAGGATGTATCCATAGTGCAGAAAGTCCACTAAACTCCCTACATCATTCATAAAACCTGAGCCTTCTTCATCTTGCTCTTGTGGAATTGATTTTTGAACCAAAGTGTAAAACTTTACATTTATTCTCATTCAAATCCTGCCTCAGATATTTATGAGCTGTACGACCCTGGCCAAGTCACTTGATCTCTGTTTGCCTCCACTTCCTCATCTATAAAATAGGGGTGACAATAACACCTGCCTTCCAGGGTTGTATCCTTTCATCTGAGGATCAAATGAGATAATAGTTGTAAAGTGCTTTGTAATCGTAAAGTAAAATAGTAAAGTGTAAAAGTAAAATAGTAAAGTGCTTTGTAACAGTAAAGTGTAAAAGTAAAATATTTAAATGCTTTGCAAACTTTAAAGAACCATATAAATGTTAGCTATTATTATTGTTATTATTATTATTATTAGCTTTGGCCCAACACTCTAGCCTATTGACATCTTTATGGATTCTGACTCTGTCATCTAACTCACTAGCTTTTTTGCATCATCTCTGTCTCATCCACAAATTTGAAAAGTGCGCCATTTATGCAAGCCACTGACTGTTTAAAATGTTAAAAGGATACAGGGCTGACCACAAACTTCCAACTTGCCATCCCTAGGTCTTTTCTATCAGTACTTGAGTAAGGACTGTCAAATTCACAATCATTTCACAGCATGTAGGGTCAGAAGAGTCGCTGATAACATCAGCCCTACCCGGAGGTTATTTTTCTCTTCTTTTCTCTTTATCCAGTTGAGGGCTTGCTGCTGGGGATCGATACACAGAGGAAAGCGACTAGCTCGAGTGGTGAGAATGCCGTTCTGAACAGATAGCTCATCAGGAGGCAGGCCCTGGGAGCCCCACCTGCAGATCAGAACATCAGAAAATCAGTGCTGCATGCAAGGCTTCCTTGATTGTTTTTAGTGCGTTGCTCAGTCTCAATGCCAAAGGTTGAGCAGAAAGTTGTCTGGCTCTAGTGGAACGGCACAGACCACTGACCTGGTGCCCAGTATCAGGAGGAGACATCTGCCGGCTCCATCCCCGCTCTAGGGAAGAAGTGGAGGCCGGCCTCTATTTCCATAATAAATCTGCCCGAGCCTGGCTTCCTCCAGCACCACCCCCCACCCTGCTGTCCCCTCCCAAGCCTTGTGCCGTGGTACGATAGCACCGGTCTCTCGGCTGAAGAGCGTCACCTACCTACTGATCTCTACGTCATCCGTGAGCAAGCTTTCTAGTCGAAAAGGCTGGCTCAGAGGAATTTCCCGTTCCAGTAAATCTCCTTGCCACACCACATTGACCATCTCATTTCGAAACTCCCAGTTGAAGGCCCCTTCGTAGCTCAGGAAGGCTGAGCAGAGCAGACAGTCGCCCAACAACTTGAATCTCCGGTGTATCAGCTCATCCAAGTCAGTCATCCATCTGACGGGGAAGAGATAGTCAGCCCAGGTCAGTCATTAGGTTCAGACTCAAATGGGTAGGAACTTCAGAAGACTCACAACATTCTCCCAGCAGCGCTAGAAGTCTACCTGCCAAATTCTGCCAAGTCAGCTATTTCTTCAGGCTGGTAGAGACATACCACCAGATGAGGAATTGGTAACATTAGCAAAGCAGCCGTGCCCAAAAGCACGGCCGTGGGACAATACTACCCACCACATTTAAGAACTAACAGATTACAGCTCTACTCGCTGGCTTCTCAAGCCGCAAAAGACCCCGCAGGTCACTTTATCACCCTGCCAGCCGTGGTGTTGACTCCCACAACCATCGGCATCAGACACTGAGCCGGAAGCCACCAATCCCCAAGTTCCAGGTGCCTCAGGGATCTGTCATATGCCTTATGACATCTGTCCTTTTCTAGTCCCACAGTTGCACTGGGTCCTTTGCACTCACCAGGATATAAAGTCTCTTTACAAACAACCTTTGCATGCCTTAGATACACAGAAAAGAAGCCTCTTGCCGAGTAAGTCTAGCCACAGGAGCCATTTTACAATGGCGACCATCCCAATTCAATCTGCTCACCTTCTGGATTCAACATAAGAAACTTTTCCTAATTTTCTGTCATGACATTAAGCTAACCTCACGTTTTCTGAGCCCAAGCCAGAAATCAGCTTGTCGGCAGCAATCAGCCGCCTTTCCATGATCTCGGCTTCTTCCTGGAGCTGTTGCTTTTCCAATATGGCTGCCTCATATTTGGCTCCCAACGCTTCCAGTTCGGCCTGAAGTGTGGCCAGCTCGTTCTGAATTCTTTCCAGTTCTCTCTTACTGAGGAAATAGTTCCTCTCCAGCCTTGCCACCTGTTATTTTAAAGAGTAGACACAAAGCCTGAGAATTGGGGAAGGGAGAGGGGCTACAAGGACACAGGCCCTGTTCTAAGGCTTGGACCACACCTATGTGATCCAGTGAAGGATTCAGGGGACCACGTGATTTAGTGCCACAGGCTACCACCGAACCTGCACTTCTTTCTTCAGCTACTTTCTTAACTCCCTGCTTCCAAGATTCAATCCTTCAACACAATTAGACCAATTCAATTTGCATGTAAGTGAACATGAGGTCACATTTCTGTGTGTGTGTATGTGTATATATACGTGTGTGTGGATATGTTTATATATATGGATATATATGACCCCTATTTCAAAGCCCATTGATATAGGACGATCTCCTTATTGATGGAGATAAAGGCCCTGCCCTGTGTGAGGGGCAGGAGGCAAGAGCACTCTTCAGCATAATCCCCTCTGGACACTCATTAAGCTTCAGGTCTTCAAGTGTTCAGTCGTGTCAAGTGAAGATAGAAGAGGCCAACCCCACTTCCGATTGCTAAAGGAAAAGATTCTGGGAAGAGCTGGCAGGCCCCATCATGTCCCTGTCCCCAACCTGCTACTCCAGAGACTTCGGGGAGTTTTTCACTTGGGTGAGACCTCGGACGCTCTTGGATGAGCGCAAGTATTTCACTACCAATAGGAGAGCTCCTTCATTCTGTATTGTCGGGTATGTCTTCTATGTAAGTCTTCTCTGATTTCCGTTAGGATTTGGATAAATGGCTTATTTGCTATTATCTATGTGTGTTCATCATGGACTTGGTATTAGGTGGGGAAGGGGTCAAGCCTTGGATATAGACCTTGGGGTCCTCCTTCCTCACCAAAATGACAAAATGATCCAAAGTTAGATGGAACCTGATCATATCCCCTAAATGAATGATATTTGAGAAAACAGATAAACTTCTAGCCCCACATCCCCTTTATCTGAGGAGAAGAGAATAGCCTCCCATCCCAACTTCTTGCTTCCCTTCTTGGCAGGAATTTAAAGTCTCCCTTGGAGAAAGATGAGAGAGAAGAGGTTAGAAATATTTATTCTCCTTCCCTTTGAGCCATAAGACAGCTCTCTCCTTAAACACAGGCCTCTCTGTATTTGTGGGCCCCTCACTATACATGGGGCTCACCTTTTTTTTCTCCCTGCAGATATATAATACATATATGTGTGCATAAACACATATATGTGTATATGTATGTATGTATGTATATGTATATGTGTGTATATATATATATATATATATATATAATTTCCATGTGTACCCTGGTGACTTCTAGCATTAAGATATGGCTCCAGGGTAAAAGTGCAGAACAGGGCGTTTAAAGGCGAGGATGGCACCAGTAAGTTATTGCTTTGCTTTTTAATCAATGGGAACAATTAGCAAACTAAAACATACAAATGATCCTCTTCATTCTTGGTTTTCCAAATTGTATCTTAACTTGCCTTAATGAAGCATATTTAAAAACCCTTTTTTTCCATTCTCTTCATATACAGAATTTGACAAAACTTTTGGAGAACTCGGCTCTTCCCGTTCCCTAATTCATCTAAAAGGAGGTGTATTTCAGAGCTAGAATCTACAGGAAAGTTCAGGGAGGGGTTGCTAATGCAGACCACAACGGAAGGACCGTGGGCGCATGAGACGCCAGCTAGCTCCAGACTGGACTCAGCCCGAGTTCACAAATGAGCAGTACCTTGTCTCTTTTGGGTTTGATTTCTTTAAAAACATCACAGTACCCCATCACGGCTTCCACAAACTTCAGCATGCCCAGCCCAGCTTTGCTTACGGCCTCCATTTCTTCAAAGGTTGTATTAAGAGTCTTTAAGAGCCCTTTAAGATAGGATGTGAAATTTTCAGTCAGTAGGTCAGTCAAAAAGTATTAATTAAGTGCCTACTATGTGTCAGGCACTTACACAAAAAAAAAAAAAGTGCTGCTCTCAAGGAGGTCACAATCTAAGGTGGGGGGGGGAGACAACAGGCAAACAAGTGTGTACAAACACAATACATATAGGATAAACTGGAGATGATGTCAGGAAGAAAGCACAAAGATCAGGAAGCCTGGGAAAGGCTTCTGGCAGAAGGTGAGATTTTAGCTGGGGCGTGAAGGAAGTCAGGTATGAGGCAGTCAGTGAACATGCCTAGAGCTTGTGTGGGAACAGCAAGGGGGCGGAGTACATGGGGATGGGGTGCAGGGTAAGAAGAATGGAAAGGTAAGGGAGAAAATCTGGAACCCAAAATTTTAAAATTTAAAAAAAAAAAAATTTTAAAAACAAAAGTTAAAAAAAATTGTTTTCACATGCAATTGGGAAATAAGATATACGGGAAATGGGGTATAGAATCTATCCTGCCCTACAGGAAAACTGAACTGGATAAGAGAAGAGGGGAGAGATAGAAAGGAGGGCAGATTAGGGGTATTCAGAATGCATGCCATCTTGGGGTGGGGGAGGGACGAGATGGGGAGAAAATTTGGAACTCAAAATCTTGTGGAAGTGAATGTTGAAAACTAAAAATAAATTAATTAATTTAAGAAAAAAAAAAAGAAGACTGGAAAGGTAGATGATGAAGGTCTTTGAATGCTCAACAGAGCATTCTGTATTTGATCCTGGAGATAATAGGGAGCCACGGAGGTGTGTTGAGCGGGACAGGGCGTGGAGGTCTGACAGGGTCAGACTTGGACTTTAGGAAGATCAGTTTGATAGCTGAGTGAAGGATAGACTGGCCTGGACAGAGACTGGAGGCAGGCTGACCCACCAGCCACCGTGCCAATAGTCCAGGCGTGAGGGGATGTGGGGGCCTGTACCAGGGTTGGGGCAGTGTCAGGAGACAAGGGGGCATATTCACGAGAGGCTGCAGGGGTGGAATCCATGGGCCTTGGCCACAGCTTGGATACGATGGGGTGAGAGTGAGGAGTCAGGATGACTCCTAGGTTGTGAGCCTGAGGGACCGGGAGAAAAGTGATGCCCTTGACAACAGGGCAATTCAGAAGAGGGGACGGTTTGGGGTGAGAGGGAAGATAATGAGTCCTGCTTTGGAGTCTGTGGGACACACAGTTCAAGAAAATGAGGCATACCTGTCACTTTAAAAAGAGAGAAATGAGATGTTTGGGGCTAATTAAGTACTCCTGATTCATTATTCATTAATCAATATGTCCATAAAATATAGACCCAACTGTCTGAGATCTGAGAGCCCAGACAGCTGTGTTTCATAACTGACCATTTGGATATGACAGAAGCCTCTAGAAGGGCAAAGGCAAGCTGACATGAACTGAATTGGAGCCCCCCCCCCCACTCCCTTCCTACTACTAGACTGTCAAGGTCTCTGCTGAGAGGCTCTGCCTGTGTCTGCAGCTGAATCCCTGCCAAGCTGGGCCTGCATTACATCTGCCATCGCTGGCAGGCCTGAGATCTGGGGCCCAGGTTTGCAATGGGGTCATCAAAGTTTCAGGGAGAGGACTCTGGCTTTCTGTTAGTGGGAGAGGGTCCTCAGATAAAACCAACACACAGCTACGCTTTAGAGCTCCCCTACGGTGGTCCTTCTATCTAACTGGAAACAGGTAACACGAAGGGAGAATTTATTGTGGAGGGGGCAAAACTGACGTCAAAATGACACAAGAATCAGAAGAGGACGCCCTGCTACTGGGGCAGGTGTCCTGGAACGGGAGGCCTCGGTCACAGGACCGAGGCGCAGATCTTGGTTCTGTAGGCGCTACCCAGGTGAGCGACCTGAAGCAAGCCACTGAACCCTCTCTGGGTCTCATTGTCCCCCACGGTGAAATGGAGGGGCCAGACTAGCTGCTCTACTGGGTGCCTTCCAGTCTAAACCTGCGATGGAGGCGTCTATGAACTTGTATAACAAAAACAGCACGCTAAACAGTTATGGCTATACAATTATAAGTGCTTTCCTCACTGATGTCGAGTATGATATTGATTACATAGATACAGATACAGAGATAGAGGAATAGATATACACACAGCATAAGTACAGGTATAGATATAAATAGAGATACAAGCATAGACATAGGGATAGATGATACAGATATAGGTATAAATGTTATAGACACAGGCATAGATACAGGGATAGATGATATAGATATAGGTATGAATGTTATAGATACAGGCATAGATATAGGGATAGATGATATAGATATAGGTATGAATGTTATAGATACAGGCATAGATATAGGGATAGATGATATAGATATAGGTATGAATGTTGTAGATACAGGCATAGATATAGGGATAGATGATATAGATATAGGTATAAATGTTACAGATATAGGCATAGATATAAGATAGATGATATAGATATAAGTATAAATGTTATAGACACAGGCATAGATACAGGGATAGATGATATAGGCATAGGTATAGATATAAATATAAGCATAAGTATAGGCACAGATGACATAAATATAGATAGGTATAGATGCAGGAAAATTGGTCTTTAAGAAGGGGCGTATCTTCTCCTTCAGAACTCAGGCCTGAAGGATGCTTGGGTCCTCAGGAACCAAAGCACCAAAGGGTTGACTGTTAATTGGTAACTTGGGACACATAGTCACCATCCACTTTTTAATGTGTCAGCATTAGCTCTATACAGGAGGAAGTCTCCTGGGAAAAGGTCAAGGTCAGGTCAAAGCTTACCCTACCCCTCTGCGGGAAGTGCAAGCACAGGAGAAAAATGAAGTATGTGAAACACCAAGTGAAAAGGCTGAGTCTTGCCAGATGAGTTTGTAGATGCCATTGAGAGTGAGAAAAAGAATGTGGTTTTTTAAGGCGTCCCAAATCCCCTCGCTGAAGTCAAAGCCATGGACCCTGTAAATGGAAAACCACCTGCTCCTTCTTAGTCCTGGGTTACGTGTTTCTCCCTAGGACCCCAGCTGTATCTCTCTCCCAAGAGATCAAACAAACCCCAAATTCCGGGGTTTCATTTGGATTGAAACAAGCCAACAGAAGCACGGGAAGCTCTAGAGAAAGCTGGGACAGCGTCCACGCCAGTCATCTCCACTTGCCTCGGATGTGCTTGACTTGGCTCTGACTAATTGAATCAAAGTCCATCTCCATGAGAGACCTCAGGAAGTTCGGGTCAGACATCATGCCTTTGGCCGTCTTCCAGTTGAGTTCCTTGTACCCCTTCACAATCAGAATACACTCACAAACAGTTTGCACCTGTTTAGGAGGCTTAGCAAAAGACCTGGGCGGGGGGGAAAGACCAGAGAAATCAATCAAAGGCAGAATCACAAAATGTAAATTAAGAAGGGCTTGAGGTAAGCATTTAAAGACACTGATGTTAGCGGTGGGAAGTAGCACGTTGAGTTCGGTGGTAACAGAACTTTGAACTTGGGGGGGTCAAGAGATCTATAGGGTTGAATTCCAGCTTTGATGCTTTCCAGATGTGTGACCGTGGCTAAATTAGGTAACCTATCTGAGCCTCAGTCTCCACAACTGAAAATGGGGATAATAATGTCTGCAGGAACTCTGCCAGGACTGCCCTACCCTACAGGGTTCAACCCCCTCATTTTGCAGACAAGCGGAGTGAGGCCCAAGGCACTTAACTGAGAGTAAGTGACTTGTCCAAGGTCACCGCTGGTAGTAAAGTATCAGAGGTAAGATTTGAACTAGGGCCCCCTGCATTGCTTTTTCCACTTTTCCACGGTCATCTAGAAGGCCATGAAAGAAGGCTCCTTTCCAGGGTCTTTCTCTGGATGAGAAATGTGTAAGGTTTGCTATCTCATCCAAATATGACGCCCAAAGATCCCAAAACATAAATCCAGAAATGAAGGCAAGGAAGAGCACTTTTTTCTTCTCACCAGAAAGTGCACAGTTGGAGAGGCAGGGAATCTGAGACAGTGGCCCCAAAAAGCAATCCCCCCAAAATATGAAGGCACAAAGACTGAGCCATTGCATTGGCTGCTCCACGCGCTGGTATCCGAGTCTCTGCATGGATGGATGGCATAAGGCCACCAAAAGAACCCCGGGGGACACTGGACATAAACCTGAACTGGCGAGCAAAAATCAGGACCATGCAGTGATGACCAATGGGTGTGAGAAGGGATGCCTGGCATCCTGCTGAATTAAACCAAGGACATGGGAATGAGATAAAGGGGATGGTGCGGTTTGTCTGTCTGTCTTCACTTAGGCACAGAATTCGGAGATGAGAAGGAACTCAACTCGGTAAAGGCAGAGGACGGTATGTGTTCATTTCTGTGGCATGTCCCAGCCTCTTACTAACCCAAAACCCATTTACCTGGGCTAATCCAAAAGCAAAGCAAACCTTTTCTATCAAGAAACTACACAGGCAGGCTGCCCTCCTAACCTTGACTTCTTGACTTCTCAGCCTGGCAATGAGGATGACTTCATTTGCCACAGGTAACTAGCAAAGGAATAATTCCCCTGGGAAAAGACTACTTCTTGCTACCAACAGCAACATCTCTAGATAAATGCTTTGCTTTCTGGACAGAGAAACTGTGCAATCCTAAATCAAATACTTCATTAATAAATAAAAAAAAAAACAAAGCAAGCCTATTTGACTTCAAAGAGAAGACAGGTAACCTCTAAAAACTAAGACAAACATGACATCATCTCCTTCTGAAACCATTTCAAATGAGCACGCAGAAAGGAAAAAGAAGAGTGTTGGGCACAGCACAAGCATTAGAATTAGGCTGGACAAAGCCAACTTGGGTGATGAGTACATGAAGGGAGGCAGTGAGGCACAGTGGAAAGAGCATGGTGCTGGACTCAGAGGACCTGGGTTCCAATCCTACCCCTGATGCTCACTACCTGGGTGACACAGGCTGAGTCACTCACGTAGACCTCAGCTTTCTCATTTCAAAGATGAAGGGATTGAAGGAGAGGACCTCTGAGGTCGCTTCCAGCTTCCAGCTCTATGACAGGATGATACACAGCTACCTGTGCCCGGGCTGCCCCCCATTGCAACCTGCCTGAAATGTTCCCCTTCCTCACTGCCGCCTCTTAGACTCTTAGCCACCTCCCTGGCTTCCTTCGAGGCACTGCTCGGGCGCCATCTTGTATTGGAGGCTTTCCTGACCCCACTCCTGCTTGAAATTATTTTGTACTATTTCAACCGTGCTCTGTGTTTATTTCTCTGTGTACGTGTTCTATATCACCCTCACCCTCTGCCAGTAGAACACAAGTTCCTCGAGGTCAGAGAATGTTGTGCTTTTGTTGTTATATACCTAGCACTCAGATTACGCGTTTGGTTGTTTTGGTCATGTCTGACTCTCTGTGACCCCATTTGGGGCTTTCTAGGCAGAGGTATCAGAGTGGTTTGCCATTTCTTTCCCCAACTCATTTTACAGATGAGGAAACTGAGGCAAACAGGGTGAAGTGACTTGCCCAGGGTCACACAGCTGGTAAGTGTCTGAGGCTGAATTTGAACATGGGAAGATGATTCTTCTTGACTCCAGGTCTGGCACTCTATCCACTGCACCACCTAGCTGCCCCAATTATAGAAGATGTTTAATAAATACCTGTTGAATTCAATTGAATTGCTATGATTAAAGAAGCAAAGTCATACAAATGATAACACCTTGGAAAGACTCCTGGGTGCACTGAGTCAAAAGGGAGAAAGGAGTCAAAAATAAGCCAGAGCAGAAGGAACGCCTTCGAAGACAGCAGGGCAATATTCTTTGCTGGGATTTCATTAGTGATGTGAGATGCAGCTTCCAGAATCCACTAAAGAATCATCTGGGGGGTGCAGACAATGCAGAGAAAGGGCTCTGCAGCCTATCCCTCTTCCTGCCGAGGAGGAGAACTGCCTGGATGGGCTCCTTTTACCCACTGATTTTTGAAAGGCTGGCCATGAGTTTCGTCTGGTAGCCACAACTGGGAATTACGGACGGAGCGGCTACCGGTTTAATCTTTCAAGTGCCTGGTGTGTCCAAAGAGCGAGAAAACCATATGTGGATTCCATTCTACCTAATAGTGTTCATAATATTTTCATTTTAATATTTTAAAATAGGTTTTATTTTAATATTTTAATTTAATTATTTTATTTAATATTTATTTTAACTATTTTAATAATAAAATGTTTATTTTATTGTTGTTCTGGACCTAGGTGTAGAATTCCATCAACCAATTGGTCAACAGCCTTCATTAGGCACCCAGTGTTTGCCCTGCAGTAACACCCGCTGATCTGTATTTATATCCCCAGCACTTAGCACATGATAAGTGCTTAATAAATGCATTTTAATTTATTCATTCATGTGCCAGGTACTGCACTTGGTGCTTAGAATACAGTGACAGAAGTCCTTGCTTTCAAGGGGTTTACAAGGAGCAGACGGAGTGCTGGGCCTGGAGTCAGGGAGACCCAAGTTCAAATCCAGCCTCAGAGACTTACTAGTTGGATGACCCTGGGCAAGCCGCTTCATCAATGATTGCCTCAGTTTCCTCAACTGTAAAAAGGGGATAATGATAGCACTGACCTGTAAGACTGTTGTAAGGATCAAATGGGGTGCTTGTAAAGCACTTAGCACAGGGCCTGGTACATAGATGGTGCTTAATAATTGCCTGTTTCCTTCTCATCACGGGGAGACAACACATGTATATTTATAGGCACATACAAAATGGGAACAAGATGATTTCAGGAGGAGGGCACGAGCGGCTGGAGGGGATCAGGAAAAGCCTCCTGGAGAGGCCTGAGGTGCCACTGAGGAAACGAGGGATTCTCATGATAGGAAAACCCCCTCCACCACCCAGACCAGCGCCTTCTCTGTGACTTGGGGCGTCTCCAGGGAGTCCCCTGGAGCGCTCGGCGGCATCTGCACAGCCAGGAGGGTCAGAGACAGCCCTCGCACCTCAGACCCCCAGCTCAGCCCCTCCGTGAGAAATCCCTGTGCGTGAAGACGTTACCTGATCTCTGTGACGTCGGACTTGTCCAGCTTCTGCAGCTCCAGCTTGGCCGCTTCCAAGATGGGCATTGCTTCATCCAAGGCCGTCTTGGCCTCCGCTTTTTCCACGGCGATGATGTTATTCTGCTCCTCTATCTCCGTGGCCTTCTCTTCGGCGAGTTTCTTCTTTTCCTCCGCTGCAGGACAAGGTGGGAAAGCGTAATGTCCCAACTGATGCAAACACACAGGAGTGGCTTGGCTTTCTTTGATTAATGCCGTTCTCAGACATCCTCTGGGCTCACCGGGAGGAGCCCTGAGTTCTCGGACCCCGGCGTCCACAGGCCTCCTCTGGTTCTCTCCTCTCTCCTCCCTTCTGGCCTCATTTGGACGCTGGGATCTCTGGGGCAGCTCCTTCTAAGCTGAGGCCATCCCAAGGAAACCGTCTCTGCTACCTGCTAGTTTATTTAAATTCCCCACTCTCCCACTGGCCTCCTTTTCCTATACCCATCTTCCCTACTACTGCTTTCCCATCAGATTTAGCTTTATCATATTATCAAGCATGTAGTCCTGGACTTGGAGTCAGAAAGACCTGAATTTGAACCCCACCTCAGACACCTCTTAGCTATGTGATCCTGGGCAAGTCACTTAAACTCTCTGGGCCTCAGTCTCTTCATCTGTAAAATAAGAGAGGAGGACTGTGGCCTTTAAAGTCCCTTTCCAGCTCTAAATAATCTATGTTCCTATGACCATAAGGGAGAAGGCTGGCTGACAACATTAGAATAGAGATCAGAGGAAGAAACAAGGTATTTTTGTCTTTTGGGTAAGATGAACTACACACTGTTGGGGTAGGAAGAGGAAAGAGACAAGGATTTCAAGAAAAAGAGCATGGGCCTGGTAAGGTGCCATGATACAGCGGGCATTCACCAGTGCCCTCCACCTGCCAGAAGGAGAGCAGCTAATCACTCCTCAACCAGAGGAGGCACCAGGAGAGGGAAGGGCCTTGCGTTCATATCATCTGGGGAAGATCTGAAGGAACTGGAGATGCTGAGCCTGGAGAACCGAATGGTCTGGGGGTGTGAAGGGATGTCATGTGGAAGGTGGGTGAGACTCTTCCTCAGAGGACAGGATCAGGAAAAGTGGGTAAAAGTGGCAAAAAGGCACATTCTGGCTCCATGGCAGAAAAAAAAAAAAATTCCTAACAACAAGAGCTTTTCAGAAGCAGGACGGAGCCTTGGGTGGAGAGGTTCTGAGGGTGCATTGCGACTCATCAGGACAGGCTCTGGACAGATTATTTTCCAGGAGAGAGGGAAACATATGGCGTCTGAGGCCCCTCCAGCCCTGAGATCCTGTTACCCCATGAGGTGGGTAGTGCGAGTGTTATTACTGGCATTTTACAGATAAGGAAACTGAGGCTCAGAAAGGTGATTTGCCCATCGTGGCATAGCTAGTAAGAGGTCAAGTCTCTTGACAACGAAACTGACCCTCTTTCCACTACACCACACGCCCTCACAAGCAAAGGCAGGAAGGAGTAAGTGACTGCGGCGTGTTCAGAAGACAGCGTGTTGACCAGTTTGGTGAAGGCTGAACAACTGTAAAAAGATCGGGTAAGAAAGAAGGATAGAGAGGTTGGCTCCAGACAGCCCAAGGAGGAACGTGGGCACCCAGACAAATAGCTGCTGCAGTTAATGCTGTCATTAACACTGAGGGGTTCACGTGGTGGTGGGTGGGGTGGGAGTGACGGGCACAAAGTACAGCTTTAGGAAGATCAGTCTGGAATCCAGAAGCCAGTGATGAGCATAATGAGTTCAGGTATGAGGCAAAGTGACCAGAACCTAGAAGGTGTCGTCCATGGGGCTGAAAAGAAGGGATGGAACTCAAAAGTGTCTCAGAAGAGTCAGTCAAAAAGCATTGATTAAGCACCTACTATGCGCCCACCTAGCTGCTCACCCGGACTTCATCATGTTCTCCAAAGACTTCTCATTCCACGAGATCACATCAACTCCAAAACTCACTACCTCTCAGTACCTGCCGGCCCTGGGGACCCTTCCTGCCTCTGACTGGAGAAAATGGAGGGTGGGCATTGGAGACCTCTGAGATCTTCCACTTAAGGAGGGAGCCCAGGGTAGCCATCTCATCATTTCCCAGCCAGCTGTAGGAATTCCTCAGTCCCTCAACCAGATCCCTTCTCTCTCCTCCCCTCCCCACCTCTTCTGCTTCTTCTAATGTGCTATCTCCCCCATTAGACTAGGAGCACCTTGAGGGCAGGGACTGTCTTGCCTTTCTTTGTATCCCCAGCCCTTAGCACAGTGCCTGGAAGTAAATATTCATTAAACAAGCACGGAAGACAGAAGGCACTGGAATTAAGAAGGATCAGGAAAGGAAGAAGGTGGGATTTCAGCTGGGGCTTGAAGGAAGCCAGGGAAGTCAAGAGGTGGGAATGAGGCATGGAGGACAGTCGGTGAAAATGCCTAGGAGGGGGCAGCTAGGTGGTGCAGTGGATAGAGCACCGACCTTGAAGTCAGGAGGACCTGAGTTCAAATCCGGCCTCAGACCAAACACTTGACACTTACTAGCTGTGTGACCCTGGGCAAGTCACTGAACCCCAATTGCCTTAAAAAAAATGCCTGGGAGTTGGAAGCTATCTTATGTGAGGGACATCAAGGAAGCTGGTATCACTAGATCCCAGAATATATGGGGATGAATAAGGGGTAAGAAGACTGGAAGGGTGGCAAGGGGCGAGCTTAAGAAGGGCTTTGAAAGACAGAGAATTCTTCTTTTGACGCTGGAGTTAACAGGGAGCTGCTGGAATTTATTGAATAGTGGGGTGACAAGAGTCAGACCTGTGCTTTTAGTTGTTCAGTCACGTCCGGCTCTTTGTGACCATGACATTCCATGCCCTTCTATCCTCCACTGTCGCCCAAAGTCTGTCCAAGTTCGTGTTCATTGCTTCCATGACACTATCCATCCATCTCATCCTCTGCCGTTCCCTTCTCCTTTTGCTTTCAATCTTTCCCAACGTCAGAGTCTTTTCCAATGGGTCCCGTCTTCTCATTATGTGGCCAAAATATGAAAGCTTCAGTTTCAGTGTTTAACCTTCCAATGAGTAATCTGAATTAACCTCTTTAACTTTTGACTGATTTGATCTCCTTGCTGTCTCAGGGACTCTCAAAAGTCTTCTTCAGCACCACAATTTGAAAGCATCATTTCTGCAGCACTCAACTTTCCTTATAGTCCAACTCTCACAGCCATACATTGCTACTGGAGGAAAAAAAGTAGTTTTGACTACATGTACCTTTGTTTTAGTGTGCTGTCCAGACCCGCCATAGCTTTTCTTCCAAGGAGCAAGCACCTTTTAATTTCATGGTTTCAGTTGCCATCTGCAGTGATCTTTGAGCCCAAGAATATAAATGCAACACTGCTCCTATTCTTTTTCCCTCTATTTGCCAGGAAATGATGGGACCAGGTGCCAAGATCTTAGTTTTTCCTTTTTTATGTAAAGCTTCAAGCCAGTTTTTGTTCTCTCCTCTTTCACCCTCATCAAGAGGTTTCTTAATTCTCCTTCATTTTCTGCCATCAGAGTGGCATCATCTCCACATCTGAGATTGTTGATATTTCTCCCAGCAACCTTAACTTCAGCTTTTGATTCATCCAGCCTGGCATTTCCCATGATGTATATAAGTTAAATAAATAAGATGATAATATACAGACTTGTTGTACTCCTTTTCCAAGCTTAAACCAATCAATTGTTCCATGTTCCGTTCTAACTGTTGCTTCTTGACCTGCAAACAAGTTCCTCAGGAGTCAAGTAAGATGATCTGGTACTCCCATCTCTTTGAGAACTTGCACATTTTGTTGTGATCCACAGAGTCAAGGCTCCACTGTAGTCAATGAAGCAGAAATAGATGCTTTTCTGGAACTCTCTTGCTTTCTCCATAATCCAGTGAATGTTGGTAATTTGGTCCCTAGTTCCTCTGCCTCTTTAAAAGCCAGCCTGTTCTTCTGGTAATTCTCGGTTCACATATTGCTAAAGCCTCGCTTGCAGAATGGGCAGCTAGGTGGCACAGTGGATAGAGTACTGGGCCCAGAGCAAGGAAGACTTGAACTCAAATCTGGTACTGGCTGTGTGACCCTGGGCAAGTCACTTAACTCTGTTTGCCTCAGTTTCCTCATCTGTAAAATGAGTTGGAGAAGGAAATGGCAAACCACTCCATTATCTTTACCAAGAAAACCCCAAATGGGGCACAAAGGGTCGGGCATGACTGAAAAGGACTTAACAACAACAGCTTGCAGAATCTTAAGCATGACCTTGCTGCTGTATGAAATGAGCTCAACTGTTGTGTAATTTGAACATTCCTTGACATGGCCCTTCTTTGGGATTGGGATGTAAACTGATCTTTTTCAATCCAGTGGCCACTGTGGTTTTTTTTTTTTTTCCAAATTTGCTGGCATATTAAATGCAACCCCTTAACATCATCATCTTTTAGGATTTTAAATAGCTCACCTGGAATTCTGTCACCTCCACTAGCCTTATTGTTAGCAATGCTTCCTAAGGCCCACTCGACTTCATTCTCCAGGATGTCTGGCTCTGGATCAGTAACCACACCATCGTGTGGTTAATATGGTGATGTTAGGCTTTTTATTGTATGGTTTTTCCATATATTCTTGCCACCTCTTCTTAATCTCTTCTGCTCCTGTTAAATCCCTACCCTTTTGTCTTAAAACATTCCTTTGATAGTTCTAATTTTCTTGAAGAGATCTCTTCTTTCCCATTTTACAGTTTTCTTCTATTTCTTTGCATTGTTCATTTAAGAAAACCTTCTTATCTCTCCTTACTATTCTCTGGAATTCCACATTCAGCTGGGTCTATCTTTCCCTTTCTCCTTGACCTTTCACTTTCCTTCTTTCCTCAGCTATTTGTAAAGCCTCATCAGACTGCCATTTTGCTTTCTTCCTCTTCTTTTTCTTTGCAATGTTTTTGTTGCTGCCTCGTGCAACAATATTGTGAACCTCTCTGTCCATAGTTCTTCAGGCACTCTATTGATCAGATCTAAACCCTTAAATCTATTCATCGCTTCCACTTCATAGTCATTAGAGATGTTATTTAATTCACACATGATCCTCTAATTGCTTCAATTTAAGTCTGAATTTTGTAATAAGAAGCTCATGATCTGAGCCACCATCACCTCAGCTCTTGTTTTAAATAATTGTATAGAGCTTCTCCACCTTTGGCTGCAAAGTATAATTAGAATTAGAAAGTAGAATCCATTTTATTTCAATATTAATCATCTGGTGATGTTCATGTTTAGAGATGCCTTTTGGGCTGTTGAAAAGATTGTCAGCTATGACCAGCAAGTTATCTTGACAAAACCATTAGTCTCTGCCCTGCTTTATTTTGTATTCCAGGGCCAACTTGCCTGTTATTCCAATTATCTTTTGATTTCCTACTAAATGTGACATTTTCTGGGTATTATTTCTAGAAGATGTTGTAGGTCTTCATAGGACTGATCAACTTTGGCCTCTTAGACATCAGTCCTTTGGAGCACAGACTTATATTACTGTGATATTGAATGGTTTGCCTTAGATTCAAACAGATATTATTTGGTCATTTTTGAGATTATACCCCAGTGCTGCTTTTGCACCCTTTTATTGAATATAGACCTACTCCATTTCTTCTAAGGAATTTTAGCCCACAGTAGTATATGTAGTGATCCTCTGAATTAAATTCACCCATCCCTGTCCATTTAAGTTCACTGACACCCAAGAAGTCAATGATGAATCTTTCCATCTCCTGTTTGACCACATCCAGCTTACCTCGGCTCTTAGATCTTACATTCCAGGTTCCTGTGCAATACTGATCTTTACAGCATCAGACCTTCCTTTTGCCACCACATGCATCCACAGCTGGGTTTCTTTTCAGCCCTGGCTTAGTCACTTCATTCTTTCTGGAGCTACTTGTAATTGTCCTTCACTCTTTCCCACTGGCATACTGGATGCCTTCAGACCAGAGGGGCTCATCTTCCGATGTCAAAACTTTTATCATTTTAATACCATTCATGAAACTTTCTTGACAAAGATGCTGGAGTGGTTTGCATTTTGTCAGAACTCTCCACCATGACCTGTCCACCTTAGGTAACCCTGCATAGCATAGCTCATCGTGCTTTAGGAAGATCAGTTTTACAGCTGACTGGAGGATGGACTCAAGTGTCTTATTAACTTGACTATCAGAGGAAGGGTATTCAAAGGCACATGCAAAGACAAAAAGAAGGATAGTTACCAATGTGCCCAAGCTGATAAACAGATCTACATCACTTTGGATGAAGAACCAGATATCGAGCTGGTAAGATCATGGAACGGGCAGGAGTGGGAGGGGGGAAATAGCCAATGATGGCAGCTCTTCCCAACTGGGCAGCAGAATCTGAAGTTAATATGCTGATCAATGAGGAGCATCTATGAGATAGTAACACCATGAGAACAGCATCTGAGAGCAAGAATTTCAAAAGGAATGTATAAAATAGACAAGAGAGAGAAGAAACTGAGGTCACGAAGAGCACTGGGTGAGGTCACTGTTATAATAAGCAAAGCCAGAGGAGGCCATGATGATCTGGACTGAAACTGTGAACAAGAAATCTGCAAGTGTTAGAAAGACCAGGTAAGAGGTCGGGGCCAAAGACAGTGATCTGGGGGTCACCGGCATATAGGTGCAAACCAAGAGTTGACAGTTGGTCAACCTATGACTCCCTGCAAAGGAGGGTACAGGGAGGTGGAGAGGATTTAGTGAAGGAGACAAACTAAGTGCTCAAACAACGAAGAAGGAACAACTAATCCCAGAATCAAAAGGTGAAAAGAGTTCTTCTAGACCAGGTCACTGAGGGCAGGAACTTGAACCTAGCTCAAATTCTCATGACTCAATGGTAGAGTCTCCATTAATACTGACTTGTCCAACCACGGCCAAGTAGAAAGCACACTGGGTTTGAAGGGAAATACACATTCTGGTTCTTCCACTTTTTACTAAGCTGCGTGATCTCTTTTTTTGCTTTTTTGGTGAGGCAGTCGGGGTTAAGTGACTTGCCCAAGGTCACACAGCTAGTAAGTGCCAAGTGTCTAAGGCCGGATTTGAACCCAGATCCTCCTGACTCCAAGGCCGGAGCTCTATCCACTGCACTACCTAGCTGCCCTGCCGCGTGATCTCTTGAGCAAGGCTCAAGGGCCTTGGACCAGATGGCCTCTCTGGTCTCGTTTTTCCTAGATTAATGATTTCATTTGACAACTGTGACCTGATATTCATTTATTTACTCAGAAAGAGAGCAGAGGACCCACCACAGGTACCCTTGCATGATGGCGCCTTGGTTGGCTACCCATTGGCTCTGCCTGCCTGTCTGCCTCAGACGTCTTGGCCCGTTACTTACCTATTGCCGTGTTCGTCGAGATCTCCTCCAACAAAGCCTCACAGGCAGCTGACTTCTCGGCCAGGACGATCTTCTGCTCTGCCAGCTTCACGTTCAGCTCATCCAGCTGAATGGTGGCTTCTTTCAGCTTATCCAGTCCTCCTTCCAGACGTTTGCACTGTGCTGAGTGGAACACAATTCAAATGCTCACCAGGAGGAAAATTCAAAACAAAGTTCAAAGGACTTCATTTAAATGACCTCACTCTGATTTTTCTAATCACAGTGGGGAGTCGTCAACCAGCTGATGATTCTAGGCTTTGTGGAGACATATAATACGCCATGCCACTCACATCAGCATCCTGGGACCCCGATGCTATTAGCCAATATGATTGTTCTGACTCTGGATTAAAAATGTCAAGGGCCAACAGGCACCATTTAGAAAGTGAAATACCAGCTGTGACTGGTAATATTTTTAACACCGTAATTTCTAAGGCATAATGGAAACATGACAGAGCACCCCAACGGCTCTATCCAGGAACCAAAAAAAGCTGCCAGCATTCTTCCAGCATAGCAGGAGAGGAGAAATTCTCCTGAAAACAGATCTCTGGTGGAGTCTGCCTGCTCTGGAAAGCTCTACCATTTCTAAAACTCCTCTATTTAAGGTAGAACGAGCTTTTCAGTAACCTTTTTAAAAAGCTGATTAGTTACTGTTCTTACTCACCACTAGGGAGGGTTCAGCCACGGTCATGGGGCAAGGGGTGAAATGATTGTGCCACCGAGACAAAGAACGGACACATTAAAGTGTCTTTCCTAAGTATGTCCATCAGCAGGTAGAACCTCCTTCCGTATATAAATCTTACCTATGTTGAATTGAGTTTTTTCATCTAGTAACTTGGAATAAGTACTGATAAAATCAAGGTAGTTCTTGGGAGTGACGTAGTTGCTTCGCCTCAGTTTTTGGAGGAATTTTTTGCTGAACTCGCCAACAGACTCATGGACCATAACAATATGTCCTACCACGTCTTCTGTGTAATCGGGCGGAATCATTGGATTCTCCCCTAAAGCAAAAGGGCAGAAATGTGAGGGGAATCTTCTCTAAGAAGCTGTGGATGGTGTTCTCTTTCTGATAAAGCTGGGCTATGATGTTGAGAGAAGCTAGCGGTGCAGTGGCTAGAGCGCCAGGCCTGGAGTCAGAAAAACCTAAATTCAAATATGGCCTCAGACACTTACTAGTTGTGTGACCCTGGGCAACCCTTTTGGTCTCAGTTTCCTCATCTGTCAAATGAGCTGGAGAAGGAAATGGCAAACCACTCTAGTGTCTTTGCCTAGAAAATCCCAAGTGGCATCACGAAGAGTCAGACATGGCTAAAAAACAACTGAACAACAATGATGATTCCTAGGCTAGAATGTAGAGGGTAGCAATTGTATCTCCCTACAGTGAGGGAGATCTGTCTTCCCAGAGGTAAATATTTCCTTGACACAATAGAGTCTGAATACCATCAAGTATGATCCACACTTTATGTACAAAGGCACTGGAGACCTAAAATGTCACTCCCTAATTAAATAAATACAACTTTTCAGGAGAATTTCTCCTCTCCTGCTATGCTAAATTTAAAAAAAAAAAAACCCAGATGGTTTCCTGACATAAGGATGGTTCTAAATCTTCCTTCAGTGTTAAGCCTTAAACCTAAAGAGAAACTTTCTAATGGTGAAAGTTCTCCCAACACAGAACAGAATGCCTAAGAAGATACAGCAGATCCTCTCTCACAGGGGATAAAAATGATATTAATAAAATTATTTTTAAAATAATACATTTGCCTAGTGTCTTACAAATCTAATTGATTTTAAAATGAAAAGATGGAGGGGGAAAGCTGCCTATCATTTATTAAACTCATCAATAAAAACATACAGGGAAAAACACAAACTACTCGAAAATGTACACCTGTCACTTGCAGTTTGTGTAATATACATCAGTAGATTTGGGTGCTCTTGCAACGGCTGCTCCCCTCCAGTGAGGCCAATCGCCACCCTGCCATGCCCCCCTCATGTGTCACCATTCTTTTGTCTTCTCATGAGTCCTCTCTAAAGGGTCTGGCCCATGTGCAGGACTCAGGCAGTCTCTCTCCTGTTCACCTCCTTTTCCAATCAGGAATTACCAGATTTGGGGTATACATTTCTTACACTTCTTGGGCATAAGTTACTGTTGTGAATAACGTACTAACCCCCACTTACAGCCGCCACGCATCTCTTCATTGACCGTTGGGGTTGGCCACAATTTTGACGTCTCAAAGACTGTGTTGTTTCACAGCTGTAAATAACAGGCTTATATTTTGAGGTATGAGCCTCTATCAAAGTTCTGCATGTTGTTATTGATAATCAGCTTGACAAATAAAATGAATTTACAAAAATAAACTGAAATAAAGTCAGACTACATGATATTTCAGGGTATCTCAGCTCTAAGCCCCATGATTTCCTTACCAATGAATCATTGCCAAATGAAATATCCAACTTGTGTCTGGTGGCATTGAGTTCCCTTGTACTGCCTTCAGGTGACATCAACGCACTTGGTATCCCTAATTTTTGTCCTATTCCACAGTATGTTTTACTTATAAACTAAGCAGCTTCAAATCATTCTGGAAGAGGGCTGAAGGCAGCACAGCACAGCAGGCAGAGGACTAGATGCTGGCCAGAAAGCCATGGGTTCAGATCCCAGTGTTGACTCCTCTCAACATGGACAAGTCATGCAAACACTACGATCTTCCTGATATGTTTAATACAGATGACGGTAACAAAAGGCTGCCATAAGTCTCAAAGAAGATACTGGCTGAGGAAACTGAGGCAAACAGGGTTAAGTCACTTGCCCAGGGTCAGACAGAGAGTAAGTGTCTGAGGCCGGATTTGATCTCAGGAAGCTGAGTCTTCCTGGCTACAGGCCTAGTGCTCTATACACTACCTGCCGTAAATAAATAAATCTTAACTCCTTATCATGTTAAAAAAAATCACTGGCTAGGAATTCAAAGTTAGAAAGAGTAAATAACAAATTATCTTATGGTATACTAAAACTTTAATCTCATTATAACACTTACCTAAAAACGAATGGGCAACAGCAAATAAGGCTTGAGGTGGCCATGGTAAGTACCAGTCAATGCCTGTATTATTTACCAGCCCTAAAATAAAAAGTGGATATTGTAAAGATCATTATGCTTCAATAGCATTGACATCTCTACCACCTTCACTGACCAGTGAGTTAGTAATCAATTGAAATACACCAAGGGAAAATTCCATCATTCAAAGAACTTGTAATTTCCACCAGCACTGTTAGAAGCAGCACGAGCAGGCAAACCAAACTTCTGGCACCATCTCCTCCTCAGACCCCGGTGGAACAGAAGAACTGGAAGCCGAGAGCTACAGGAAGAGCAGGGCTGGCCACTGACCCTACTTCCAGGCAATCCGCCCAGCCCCACCACAATCCACGCCCAGCTACCATCCCAAGAAGCAACTATTGTGGGCATGCAAGCAGGCAAGGGATTCTGTGGGTGCCTGCTCAACAACCATGGGCACTGAAGACTCAGAAAAGAATGTTCTCACCACCCAAGTCCTTGGTGCCATGCAACAATTCAATATAAAAAACAGAGTTAGTTTTATCAGCTGAAATGACACTGAAGATGTGTTTGTATGTCAGCCTTCTCTCTCCTCTACCAGCCTTACCATCTGCTCTGGAGCTGAGCCTACAGATACACACACACACACACACACACACACATTAGTGTGTATATACTCATGTGTGCACATATATATGTGTGTATATACATGTATGTGTGGATAGATATAGATAGATGGATAGATAGATAGATATATTAGACAGATAAATAGATAGATGGATACATGGATGGACAGATGGATGGATAGGTGGGTAGATAGATAGATATAGCTGATAGAGATAGATAGATACATAGATAGACAGATGGATGGTTACACGGATGGATAGATGGATGGATAGATAGACAGATAGATTATATATATAGAGTCTCCACCTATTAAAATGTATAGGTGGCTCAAATCTGGCCTCAGACACTCACTAGCTGTGTGACCCTGGGCAAACCCCTTAACCTCTATTTGCCTTAATCCACTGGAGAAGAAAATGGCAAAACACTCCAGTATCTCTGCCAAGAAGACCTCAAGGACAGTATGGTCCCCAGGGTCATGAAGAGTCAAACACAACTGGGTAACTGAACAACAATAACAAATTAGAATGCGAGCTTCTTGAGGCCAGTGACTGTATGGTCATTCTAGTTGTATTCCCAGCACATACTGCATTACTTTGCACTAAGAATTAATGCTCAATCAAGGCTTTTTCATTCAATCAATCAATTAATCTTACACAGAAGTAACAGCAAAATTAGGATCCATTAACTAATTTTTTACTTTGAGCAAGAGCGTGCGGGGGGGTAATATACATTCTCAGAAGTCAGAGCAGCAGCAACTAAGCATAAATAAAACCAAATTTCAATCTGCAGAAAAAATAGAATTCTGGGACAGTCCTATTATTCAGAGGAAAGTTGATATTTAGGGCTTACATTACTTGAGTAACTTCCTGAATTTTTCTCATTTGCTTTGCAAATAGTAACCTGGCATCAGACCGAGAAAGTGGGAGCCATGCCTAGACTCCAATGCTCAGACCCTGGCAAGAAGGAAACTTAATTGGTTTGACCAAGTGAATTGTACCTGGAAAATTTCGACACCGTGTTCTCAGCATCTCACCAACTGGAGACATGCCAAGGACAATGTGAAGGTTATTTCCACTCTTATTGACAAAATACTGCCAGACACTTTCTTTAGCCAATCCTACACCAGCCTTGACAGCTTCTTGTCCAATTTGACTTAGAATGGAGTCTTTTTCATCATCAGGAAAAAGTGCTGGCACGATTCCTAGAAAACAATGAAACATACATATTCTTTAGAAAAGTCCATAGTATAGAGTTGTCCAGTTCAACACTGTATAAAATATACTGTGGTCCTTTGAAAAATTAAATAAAAGATTAAATACCAAGTAGGTGGAAGGTAAACTTTTAGGGGATATACTAACAAAATGGTTAAAAATTAAAATGGATTAATATTTGGAAAAACACAAAATACCTAGATTAGCAGAATAAGAAATAGAGAATTAAAATAATTCAATCTCAGAAAGAGAGATTTAACAATAAATAAAGGAATTCCCAAAGAAAAATACCAATACTAGATGGATTTGCAAGTGAAATCTATAAAATTCTAAAAATAATTAGTTCCAATATTATATAAACTGTTTGAGAAAATAGGAAGAGATCCTAACCAAACTTTTTCCTTGAAATAAATATGTCCCTCATACCTAAACCAGAAAGAGCTAAATTAGAGAAAGAAAATTATAGACAAATATCACAAATAAACATGAATGCAAAAATTGAATGTTAGGAAAAGGCTATAACACATATTAAAAAGATTATATATTGTGACCATGTTGGATTTATACCCAGAATGCAAGGTTGGTCCTTATATTATTATAAATATAACAGACTACATTAATTAAAAATGACAGGCTACATTAATAACACAAACAATAAAAATCATGTGATATAAATAATGCAGAAAAATAAAACACAATACCTCTTTATGTTAAAAAAAACATTAAAGAGAAAAGGAATAAATGAGCTATTCCTTAATATGGTAAATAGCATCTATCTAAAACCAAGATCAAGCATTATCTATAATGGAGTAACACTAGAAGCATTCCAATAAAATCAGAGTAAAGCAAGACTGTCCATTGTCACCACTGTGACTTGCAAATGTTCTAGAAATACTATCACAATAAGAAAAGAAAAAAAAATTCAAGGAATAAGCAAAGTATCACTTTTTTGCAGATGACATGATGGTTTACTTAGGGAATCTTAGAGAGTCAACTAAAAAATTAAAGGAAAGATCTTACAAAAAGGGTGAGATTTGAGCCATATCTCAAAAGATGGGATTTTTATCAGAGGAATCAGTTGATCAATCGACAAGCATTTATTAAGCGACCACTATGTGCCAGGCACTATGCTAGGTGCTGGGGATACAATTACAGAGAATGAAACAATGTCTACCCTCAGGTAGATTACATTCTAACGAAGCAGAGTAGGAGGAAGAGGGAGAGTATTTCAAAATGGAGGGTAGAGTCCAGGTGAAGGTGTGGAAGCGGAAGCGTGACAGTGGATGGCGAGGCTGGGGGGAAAGCAGCAGACGAGGCCAGGGATGCAAGGAAGCTGGATTGTGGATTTTTAGCCACAGTCGTACATCAAACAGGCAGCAGAATGTGGTGGACAAAGGGCTAACCTTGCAGTCCTGAAGACCCCGGTTTAGGGCTGGGTGGCCATGACCAAGTGCTGGCAACTTTTCAAGACCATAAACTACACAAAACATGGAGGAAACGTCCACATTGCTGGGAGGAACAGGAGTTCTTGACAGCAGTGGTGTAATAGGTCCAGACTCCTCCTCCCCCCAAATCTAAAACCTTTGAGAACAGCACAGGCTCTGGGGTCAGAGGCCCTGGGCCTGAACCCCATCTTTGTCACTTTCTCCTTGTGAGACCGCGTGAGAGCAGTGCACTGACTGTCTACAGGCTTCAGTATGCCTATCTCTAGCACAGAGAGGCTGGACCAGATACCTTCTAAGGTCCTTTCCAGTTCGAGACCTAGGATGCTGTGACCCTAGCATGGGCCGTACAGAAAATGTTACCTTTTATAAAAAGGGAATCGTGGATCTTCTATTTGCTCTCTGTGGCCACGCACAATTCACTTCGTCGCCCTGGGACTCAGATTTCTCTCTCGCAAAATGAGGGATCTGTACTCGGCCCCCCAAGTTCCGTCCAGGTCTAGACCAATAATCTTAGGGTCACCAGGATGCCACCAGAGGCTGAAATATCCCCTGAGAAGGTGAAGCAGTGAAATCTCACTCGACAGAGACCTCCTGTGTCAGGGGGGGTTTTATCCAGAGACTGTCAGGGCCTTAGAGAACAGAACCCATTTGGCCTTTCCATGACCCACATCCCAAAAGGCTTCTCTCAATCATTGTAGAAATAATACCATATCAGGAGGACCTGAGTTCAAATCCAGCCTCAGACGTTTGACACTTACTAGCGGTGTGACCCTGGGCAAGTCACTTAACCCCGATTGCCTCACCAAAAATAAATAAATAAAATTAAAAAAAAAGAAATGATACCACAAAGAACGGTCAAATTTGCTTCTGCATGTCTGAGATAACTTCTCCCTCGGCAGAGAGAGTTCCACAGTCAGAGAGGGCATTCAAATAATTTCAATCCAACAAGCACTTATGAAGTAGCTACTGTGAGAGGCACGGAAGGACAAGAACAAAACAGTCCCTGCCCTTGAAGAGCTTCCATTCTATCTGGGGGGATGGAGGGGACAGGCCACACAAAAGTAAGTGACTTACACAAGTAAGTAAATGGGAACTGAACAGAGGAGAGACATCAGAGGTAAATTTACAAACTAGATCACTAAGGTTAATTTCTTCTCTAATAATATTAATTCATACTTGTGTGGCACGGGTAAGTTGGTCTGGGGGCTCCTTAGAGGATGCATAAATATTCCCCTTTGGTTCCAGTCCAAGCAATCACTTGGGCTTCTACAAGGAGAAGCTTTGGGGAGCCAGTTTCTGACCAACTAAGACTGAGAGGATCATAGTGTGATAAAGTCTTCTAATTGACTGTCAAACCAGAAGTCAGGACTCTCCAGTTGGTGAGCCAGAACTCAGTGTGTAAAAAAGGGAGCTCCTCATCTCTCTCTCTCTCTCTGTCTCTGTGTATGTCTCTCCCTCCCTCCTTCTCACCCTCCTCCTCTTTCTTCTTCTTCTTCTTTTCTCTCTCTGTCTCTGTCTCTCTCTGTCTCTGTCTCTCAGTTTCTGTGTGTGTCTCTCCCTCCCTCCTTCTCACCCTCCTCCTCCTCCTCCTTCTCCTCCTTCTTCTCCTTCTCCTTTTCCTTCTTCTTCTTCTTCTTCTTCTTCTCCTTCTCTCTCTCTCTCTCTCTCTCTCTCTCTTTCTCTCTCTCTTTCTCTTTCTCTCTCTCTCCCAAGATCCTGTGTGCATGTGTGTGATAGAGCTGTAAGTGTGGGGAGAGGTAGGGAAGAGAAGACGGAGTGCCCACTGGAGACTCCAACTTGTACATACAAGGGCTAGTAGAGGGAGTGAGAACAGAGCAGGCTCTGTAACTTGCACAGTGTTCCACAGTTTACAAAGTCCTTTCCTCAGAAAACCCCTGTGAGATTGGTAGTGAAAACAGTTATACAGGCAGAGCAAGCATTAATGGTCCTCATTTTCAGATGAAGAAACCAAAGCTTCTGAGACATGAAGAGATTTGTCCATGGCCATGTAGTTAGGTAGTGGCAGAGTTGGGATTCAAATTCATGTCTTCTGACTCCAACATCAAACTCCAAAAATTCCTGAATGGAAAGCTCTACATAGGCAACACCACAGAAATGTTCGCCATTAGGAAAAAAAAAAAAAAGCTCCTGAGAGTCTGATTCAGTATCACAGGAACCAGAGACTACTAGAATGGTTGCCAGATGGGGCAGTCAATCAATGTGTCCCTCAGAAAGCAGCCTAACAGAGCACTAATGGACCAGGATTTGAGATCAATAACCCCATCAGCTAACAAGCATTTAATAAAAACTTACTATGTAGTAGGCACCATATCTGGTGCTGGGGAAATGAAAACAGAAGTGAAACTAATATTCTAATGCAGAAGAGACAACATCTCTCTACATTACCTGATGTTAACATGTTGTTGATGAGCTCCAAGAAACCCTCCTCTGCCACATGGGCATCTGTGAATAAGAAAATCATTAACTTGTTCTCAATTCCAAGTTTTATGTAGAGGCTCTTGAGATCCTCTCGGAAATTCGTTTCAGAATAGCCTCGATTCAAAACAATTTCAAACACCTGATAACATAAAAATACAATGTATCAGACACTAGAAAATTGAGGTTAATGTGACTTAATTGCCTATGAAATATATCCAAATATAGACATGTGAATAAATGTAAAATGCACGGTTTACATTCAATATTTCCTTTGGTTCTTTGGGGCTGAGCAAACCATAATTCATTTGATTCAATTAAATTCAACAAGCAGACATTGAGGGCACAAAACACACGTGAAAATAGTCCCTTGCACTCCAGGGACCTACTTGGACATCATGTTGAGAAAGGATAAAAGAGCAGTTTGTGTCAATGACTATTAAATTTTCCAAAGAACCAAAGTAAGGGGCCTATATTCTCCATTCCAAATAAAAGATAAGATCTTAAGATATTCACATAGACATTGTTAAAGCGTCAGTTGTCACATTTTACAAAGAAACACAAACTCAGTTTCACAATCCATGGAAGCCATCATTTACAATGGCTCCAGCGCTGGAATCCATTGAGGCAAACCCATGAGTGCCGTACAAACCTCACAGCCTGCCGTGAATGCGGCCAGCCTCGCCAGGGACTGCTTTCCAGAGCCCCCCACCCCAACCAGCAGCGCGTGGCCCCCATCCATTCGAATAATTCGGTGGACTCGAATCAGGTGCTCCAGAGCATCATCAAAGAGCACCAGGTTCATCTTGGTGTTGTTTTCATTATACTCTTCAAGAATCTCCTGGAAAAAAAAAAAAGACAAGTATTAACAGCACAGATGCCTTTACTTAATGGAGGTAATAAAGACAATTCAAAGAATTTAATCATTCATATGACAAACACATAAAATCATTTCATTATCCTGAACCTTAAATCTAATATTTGTGGGAGAAAAAATATTCCATATCTGCAATTTCATCATTTTAGTAAATTTCCCCAGTGAGAAAACTCCTGCCACCATTGCAGATCAGCACCTGCTCTGCAAATTAGTCTTTTTTTTTTTTTTTGGTGAGGCAATTAAGTGATTTGCCCAGAGTCACACAGCTAGTGAGTGTTATGTGTCTGAGGCCAGATTTGAACTCAGGTCTTCCTGATGTCAGGACCCACTGCACCACCTAGCTGCCCCCTGCAAATCAGTCTTAAAGCAGGGATTTTTTACTGGTTTTGTGTCACCATGGAACTCTTCGGCAGGGTGGAAAAGTCTAAGGACCCCCCATCTCAGAACAATATTTTTAAATGCATAAAATAAAATGCATAGGATTATGAAATAAATCAATTTTATTGAGATACAGTTATGAGAGTGTAAAAAACAAAAACAAAAATAGTTAATGACCCTACATGTCTTAGAGAGTTGCCTGGGGTAAGTGACTTGCCCAGGGTCACACATGAGAGTTAAAGACCTGAACCCAGGCCCTCTGACTTCAAGGCCAGTCTTATATCTACTACACTACACTTGGTTTTGTTGAATTGAATTATTGGTGCAGAATGAGAAATAAGCCACATTTCACTTCAGGACAGGACCTTTGGAAGCATTGCCCCATTTGGTGTGCAGAGGGTCCCAGCTGGAAGTTTTCTGTGGTAACTCATTTTCATGCACCTATTAGTACAAAATTCCCTTCTACAGCCCCTCTCCAGCTCAGCTCATGAAATGAAAACAATGATAAAGTGGATGGAAGTGATGGGGTGGGGATCTGGACCCCAGAAAGGAAAAAACCTGGACTTTCCTACTGGCCAGATCTCTGGCAGTTGCCTGAGGCTATAATCCTATCAACTGGTCTTCCATTATCGCCTATGCTCTATCTCCCTATTCTGTTACCCTTAACCTAGCCTGGCCCTCCATTGTCTGACCTCTCTATGGCCCCAGTCCACTTCCCACCCTTAATCCTAGCAGCTCCATTCTCCCTTGGCCACATGGTCCAGGTCCCTGGCATTCTATTGCCTCACAGTCCCTGCAGACTACTTGGCCACTCCTAGATCTCTCCCACAGTCTTTCTGTATATAAGGTCCATCTTGTCTCCATTAAGGTGCTCACATTTTTACAATCTAACCGCTGCTCAGATTCTTATAATCTAGCCAATAGCTCACCAATGTTCAGACTCCCTAAGAGTCTGCCCAATATGGCAGATGTTCTAATAAATCTTATCTTTGGCTGAAAGAAGGCTTGGGTTGAATTCTTTCGGGCAGGACCCGCGTGTTGTGATTTTGGGGTCTCAGCACCCCTACACCCCTAAACCTCAACAGAAGGGCTGACCCAAACTCGTGCACCATCCTCCACCATCTTTAGACTGACTGTCAGGTTGGTACCATGGAGAAAAGGCCATCTTAAAGATGACCGACTGGGCCATACCTGGAAAAGAGCTTTTGCAGCTTCATAATCTTGGATGTCTTCATAAATCCGAGGCCCTTCTTCATTCAAGGCCATCCTAAAATCTCCAAAGAGTATAGGATCTCTCATGACAAATTCCAAGTCTTCTGGGAAATGTTCCTGAACCAAAGCCTGGATATGATCTTGTACCTTTCAAAAGAAGACGGAACAAGAAACAAAGCAAGGGTGATGTACACCAGTCCAGAAAGGAATGTTTATTAGTAGATTAGCTAAAATGATTCAAGTGGTATTTCCATGTAATTAATAGTAACAACAACAACAACTAGCATTTCTATAGTGCTTGCTTCAAGGTTTGCAAAGCAATTTACATATATCCATTCATTTGGTCCTCACAACCACTCTAGAAGGTAGGTGCTATTATTATCCCCATTTCACGAATGAGGAAAACGTGGCTGAGAAAGACTGAGTGACTTGCCAAAGATTATACAGCTATTAAGTGTCTTGAGACAAGATTGAAAATCAGATCTTCCTGACTCCAACTCCAGCCAGCTCTCAACCCCACTGCCACCTGGCTATCATTTCAAGCAGAATTTGGATGAATGTTTTGTCTGTGGCTTCAATTTTCTTTCCAATAAAAAAAGTACTAAATAACGTAGCCTTCCTGTGTGTGCTTGTTTATCTTTATCACGTGATTCTGTGTTGGTTGGTTGGTTCTTCAGCCATCCACGTAATATCCAAAAAAAAATCTCTCATAAGTCCAGGTTTTTTGACCTTTTGCACTAAGGCATCAATACTGTGAGTAAGTAAACCGGCACAGTTATAGTCTTACGTTCATAATTACATTTAGAGATACTAACCAAAGTCTTGTCATATTCGTTAATTAATCTGTCATGGAAAACTCTCAAACACTCATTTCTCCAGACTCTCACCATCTGTGATACTGTCTGAAACCTGAATGATTAAAAGAACAGAAACAGTGTGGATACAGATTAGAGGAGCAGAGGTCAAAAGCAGTCACTTTTAGTAAAATGAGAACTTTTGAAATTTCAAAAAAACACTATTGGGAAGGTAGCTAATGATGAACTTCCTGTCTTTCATCTAGTTTAACCTTTTCTGCATCATGGATCTTTTTGGCAATCCAGCAAAGCTTACAGACACCTCAGAAACATGGTTTTAAATGCATAAAATAAAATACATGGGATTTCAAAGGTAACCAATTATATTGGAATATAGTTATCACAAAATTTTTTAAAAAGTTCCCAGACCTCAGATTAAGAACCTCTGCTCTAAGATTTATCATAAAGAGAACAATGCTCAGAAACACATTAATATTTTTCTGGGACAAAGAGTGACAAAATTCTTCCATTTCTCTTTATGGGTTAACAAATGAAATCTAACTCCACACATTTAGAGAATCTAGAATGCTAATTGTTATGTTAATGTTAATGTTAATGTTAATGTTAATAAAGCCCAAGTCTCAAGACCCATTGGTATGGGGCTCTCTTCTTATTGGTGGATAATGATTACTCAATGTCCCTACACTTGTGTGACAAGCAGGCCAGAGTTGGCAAGAGCAACAGAGAAATGTTCTTCTCCCTTCCAGCTTCTTCAGCTTCCAGATTCTTCTGGATTCCAGCAATGAGAGAGAAAATCTGTGATGCCAACCTCTCTTCAAGTTGCTAAAGGAAGAGAAAGACTCTGGGAAGAAGTTTACATAGGAGCAGCCAGAAATCTCCATCATGTTGCTAACCATAGCTTGCTGCACTAGAGACACTGGAGAATTTCGCCTTTGGGTAAGATCAAGAACTCTCTCTTTCTTGGTTGAGTTACCTCATTCTCAATGGGAGAGCTCCTTCAATCTGCATTGCCTGGTGTATATATATGCTCGTATACTTTCTCTGATTTTTATTTTGCTATCAACCTAGATAAATTTATTTGATATTTCTTATGTGTGTTCATTGTGGAACTGATATTTAGTTAGGAAGGGAATCAAGCCCTAGATTTAAAGCTTGGGATTCCTTAATCTGTTTATGAATAGAGATCAGAAGTTTAGCATGAACCTTAAAAATTACATCCTCTAGACTAACAATATTTAATGAAACAGAGATATCATTATAGCCTGGTATCCCTTCCCTCTAAGGAGAGCAGGGTAGCTGCCTCTATTGACAAGAATCAAAATCTCCCTTGAATAAAGGTCAGAGAAGAAACACTAGAGATGTATCTATCTATTCCTATCTCCCTATGAGCCATGTCAAGAGATAGCCCTTGATAGAATATAAAAGCCATAATAAAAGTTATCTGCTGTAAACCACCTGGCTTTAATTTAAAACAGTCCCATGCCTCCTCCATCATGGTGTGAAAGTGACTCTGGATTCTCAGAAGACATGCCAGTGGAATGCAATATGTACCACCAGTGGACAAGAACTGGCCTAGAATAGCTGGATTTGAACTCAGGCATTCCTGACTCCAGGCCCAGCGCTCTGTGCACTATGGCACCCCCTAGCTGCCACTAGAAGGACCACTCTACTCTTACAAGTAGAGAACAAATGTGAGGCTGTTCTTGAAGAGATTATGGGAAGTAGCTGTTCGTCTTCCCAGGGATAATGGTGCTACGAGGTGAGAGGGGAAGGACAGAGCAGCAGTGGCTGGAAACTCCCTGCTCAAGGGGAACTGGACAGCTACTTGTTAACCTGTCAGCAATAAGACGGGCTTAGTATACAACATAGCAGAGACCCCTCCCCCAAGACTCCTACCCACTTCTCATGCATTGCGTGGGCACCGATTATACTGCCAGAAAGAGCCTAGAAAGTATTGCCAAAGATACTGAAATCTCAGACAAGAAACTGAAGGCCAGAAGGGCACAGAAGGCATTCGCACCACGGCCAACAGGGTACAAAAGAGAAAAACTCACCTGGGAGGTAAACTGCTAGCTAAGAACATGCTGGCCAAGATGGGGATTTGGCTTCTGAGACTGGGGCTTTAAAATGTGGACTCCACAGACTCCAATCCAGTCCCACCCCATCAACATTTACTAAGTAACTACTGTGTTCCAGATACTGCACTGTACAATGGAAATAAAATTAATGAAAAGAAAAGGCAGTCCCTGCTCTCAAGGAGCTTACAGTCTGAAGGGGGGGGACAACATGCAAAAGGAAGAAAGAAAGGGAAGGGGGACACCAGGGAGGACCCGACAGCACAGGGGCATCTTGTTCCCTGGAGCTGAAACCAGGCAGGGGAGCAGACGCAAAGTAGAATGAGCTGAGAGTCCCTCTATGAAGGAAGGCACGGGGAGGAGTTAGCCCCCAATCAGAGGGGAGAGGAGGCTGGGGGAGGTGGTTACAGTGAAGGCTTGAGTGAGTAGCTCATGGTGAAGGAGGACCAACAAGAAGTGATGAGCTTAACCTGGGAGGGCCGTTTTGCTCATCTTTGAGATGAACCTAGGCATGGTAGCAGATGCAAAGTGTACTCCAGAATACAAGGAACAAAGGCTAAAAGAACTTATTTGCCTGGGGTCTTACAAATCTAATAACCAAAGGGGCTTTAAACTGAAAAGGATGGGAGAGGGGACAAATTGCCAGCATATATCCACCAAGCTAGATGCCATAGAAAATAATGACAATTTAGAAAGAATAGTGGTTCAGACACCAAGAAGTTTCATAAGAGACAAAATCCAAGAAAGGAGCTAGCAGTAAAATGTGTGATCTCAAGTGTCTATAGTCAAATGGCCAAAGTTCAGGCAACCAGTAAGGAAAACTAGAGGTCCTAATAAAAGGAGGCAAATTTCCTCAATGATCCCTTCATAGGTACCAATGCAAGGGTAGGAGGTGGGGAGGCAATGATCCTGAATGGGTATACCTTATTAAAAAGAAACAGAATAAGTGAAAAAAAAAGGGAGGGGTGGCTATTAGGAAGATATATCATGTGAGAACATTCAGGAGCCAGAGGCAAGAAGTATTTGGATGAAGCTCAGTGGAGGCCAAAGCAATAGTGATATTGTCATTTGGGACACACCACAGAGCACCTGGACAGAAGGAGGAAATGGATGACTTCAGGAAACAGATTACAAGCCCATCACAGAGGTAGGATGATGAAGATTTTGATTACCCAAACACCTGCTAAAGCGCTCTCTCTGGATGATGTGTCCTCTGTCTCCCTCTCCCTGTCTTTGTCTCTCTCTTTCTTTTTCTCCTCTCTGTCTTTCTCTTCTTTCTCTCTTCTCTCTCCTTTCTCTCTTCTCTCTCTCCTCTTTCTATCCTCTCCTCCCTCTCTCCTTTCTCCCTCTCCCTCTCCTTTTCTTTTTTCTCTCCTCTCCTTTCTCTCTCTTCTCTCTCCTCTCTTTCTATCCTTTCTTCTCTCTCTCTTCTTCTCTCTCACTGTCTCTTTGTCTCTGTCTGTCTCTCTCTTTCCCCTCTTCTCTCTCTGCTCAATTTAAAGGTTAACTGTTTCTTTGCCAAGAAGAATGGCCTTTGGACTAAAACGGGAAAAAAAAAAGCTAATAGGAAGTCAGTTGGTTAACTAGAATTTATTAAGTATTGACTTTGTGCCATCAGGCACTATGCTAAGAGCTGGGGATACAAAGAAAGATTAAAAAAAAAAACCCAGCCCTGCTGTCAAGGAGCTCATAATCATATAAGGGTAAGAATATGCTAAAAAATTATGTATAAACAAGATACAGACTGGATAAATTGGAGGTAATCAACAGAGGGACTTCATTTAGATTAAAGAGAACTGGGAAAGACTTCTTGCAGAAGGTGGGACTTTAGTTGGGATTTGAAGAAAGCCAGGGAAGCTAGTTCTCGAGAAGGAGGAGGAGGAGAAGGTGTGGAAGGAGAGAATTTCAGGCACAGGAAACAGTCAGTAAAAATGAGCAGAGTTAGGAGATGGAATATAGAGGAATAGCAAGGAGGCCAGTGTCACCGTATAGAAGAGCATGTGGAGAGGAGGAGGGTGTAAGAAGATTGGAAAGGTAGAAAGCGGTCAGGTTATGAAAGGCTTTAAACACCAAACAGAAGATTGAATATATTTGATCCTGGAGGTAATAAGAAGCCACTGGAGTTTGTTCAATGGAGGAAGGGGGGAAGGAATATGGTGACTCTCTCCGTCAAAGAGAAGCTGGTGAGCACCAGGTGCAAGTGAGACCACGTAAGCTTACCGCTCTGGGTTGGTGAGGACAAGACCATTGAATACTCGAGAGAGATCCCGAAGGTTAAAGATGTAATGAAACTTGGAGGGTGTGGGAGGAAGGTCCTGGACAATCATCTGGTAAAGCTGCAGCGTGCAGAAGGTCATCAAGTCACTCACAGCGGCGATCGCCTCCGCAAACACCTGCAAAGTGAAACCGCTACAAGTAACTGGATGGCCTGATTGAGGAGGAGGAAAGTGGGAAAGGAATGGGTGCCAGGCAGTTGGGTTAGGAGAGGGGCCACTCATCAAAGAGCCCTTTGAAGGTTATAATTTAACTCATTACAAGTTACTGTCAAATAATACTTTAGTTTCCATTTCTAATTTAAGTTCAAATTACCTTGGTATGGCCTTTCAAGATGGAGGCATAAATGAGACGCAAAGACTCTTCCGAAGGAAATGGCACGTTGAAAACATTGAAGAGAGAAATAAATCTTGGATCAACTTCATTCCGACCCCCTCCAGCCTTTCCCATTGCAGCAATGAATCCGAGGTCTCGAAGAACTTTACAATTCATCTCCTTCCCACGGTCATACAGGAAACCCTTCTCCAAAAGAAGCTTCAGCAAAGCAATTGGCTGCTGTGTGCCATACTCATCAACCTTGTTTTTGAGAAGGAAAGAACTGATCAATCAACAAGCATTTATTAAGTACTTACTATGTGCCAGACACTGCGCTGGCCTTTGGGGATAGAAACTCAAAAATGAAATAGTCCCTGCCCTATCTAGCATTTAACTGGGAACCCATTTTGGAAAAATTCTGTTTTCCTGGTAGAGTAAGTACACAGGCAAGATCTATGACAATGTATCTTCCATGATAGAATGTAAGCTTCTTGAGGGCAGGGATGTACTGGTAAATGTTTAACAATCAGCTTCCCAGAAAAACAATGTACACACAACATATCTTAAAGTTTAGTTTATATTATTAATATTTTCTCAATAATTTTCTTAAGTCTATGAAATCAATAAATCAAGCCCTGATTTGAAGCATTTGCTGATTTCCAAGATGCAAATGATCAGACTGAAAATGTAATAATCAGCATTCCTGAGCTGGTGTGAGTTGCCTCCAGCACACTCTTATACACTCTTACACAAGCTTTGCCAAAGAGCTCTCTATACCCAGGAATATCCTTATTGTGTATAGTAAAGGTCTCTCTTAGATGGGTCAATTAGGATCATGTAGGTCTAAGTGGGTAGGAACTATGTGTATAATCAGGAAGCAAGCAAGGAAGGAAAGAAAGGCAATGAATTACTATTTCAAGCTGCAGAAGAGTTTGAATTCACTTACTAACACATCGTTATTCAATCTGACCACTATTCTTTAAGAAAGTAAACCACAGAGTACATAGGCAGAGAGATAAAGAAACCCAGTAACCATTCTGGAGCCTCCAAATGAGAATCCATACTTCCTGAAGGCTATTGTAATGTTCTCAATGAAATCCTTCAGTTACCTTGGGCATATTCATGTCATCCATGAATACCAGGAGACGTTTCCCCATGGGAGGTCCGTAAGTGTCTTTAGTTCTCTTCTCAACATTTGCCTCCAAATTCCTTTGGATATCCATGGATGTGGTACGGGAGGAGAAATTAACAATGAGCACAATCTGAAATGGAGAGAGTGTTGGAGATAGGAAGCTAACTATTTTGACATAATGTTACTTCATTAGTCAACCACAAAAGTGTGAAGAAGAGTTTCCATCTATTTTATTACTTTAACAATTTTCAAACTTAAACCTTTTTCAACTCACTGAAAATGTTTATTGGATCGATTTCATTGTGCTTTAAGACATGAGTCATACCTTTTCCCTGAAGAGGCAGATCTTGTCTGCCAATTTGCAAGTAAGTCAGTTTCTACATATGGACCTTAGAAGCAGCACAGTCAATTCAATTCAATTAAAAAAACATTTTTTAAGTACCTACTATGCAAAAGGAACTGTGGTAGTCGCTAAGGAGACAAAGATAAAAACAAAACAGTCCCTGCCCTCAAGGAGCTTACGTTCTACTGTAAGGAAAATACAATCGGAAGAGACAAGATAACTACATATGACCATCACCTCCTCTCATTCTTCTGCTTCCTATGCTCACCCTGGCTAAACCTAATTTTTGCTCTCTTCATGACCTCCAGTCCCTATCCTCCCCCCACCTTTAAGTACTTTCTCAGGTCCAGCCCAGGATTACTCTTATTATCCACCTTTTCTGCTCCTACTCATAAGATGCTGAACAGAACTGAAAGAAGTCTTACAACCTTGCTCACTGGCTACACTATAAATTTTGTTGCTGTTGGGGAGAAGTGAGTAGAAACTACCCAGTGGGAGGAGAAAAGATGCGGCTGAACCTAGGCAGCAACCCCTGCATTCCAAAGACGGGAGCCAGGGAGAAGGCAGTACTTTTTTTCTCTTTAGGCTTTACCTCCTACCTCAAACCTATACCTAGACAGGCAAAAAAGGCTGAATCAGTAAAGTATGAGGCGAGGTCCTCTGCTAAGAGGCAGGGAAGAGAAAGTAAGGGTGGCTTGAGAAGAAAAGAGAAGGCTTGTACTAGCTGTGTGACCCTGGGCACACAGTTGCTTAACCCCAATTGCCAAAAAAAGAAAAGAAAAGAAAAGAGAAGGCTTGGAACAATTTCTGTGGGGAATGTGACATAGAGTCAGTCAGGGAGAAGTGAGAGCAAAGTTAAAGAGCAGTGACATGAGATGACATAAATTCATATTCAATTCAGTCAGCACAGTTCTGTGACTTCTCACAGGGAATTCAGTAGTATGCAAAAAAGCAGCAGAGAAAGCACGTAAAGAAAGGTGGAGGCAAAGATTTACAAAAGGGACAGTTTGAGTACTTCATAAGGAAGGAAGAAGCAAAACATGTAAAAGAACTAGAAATAATAGATTAATGAGCTAATATGTAATCAAATGAGTTAAGTAAGTTGCAAAGTCTATTTTTGATAAATATTAAAGCGCTAGAGAAATATTGGTTGTTATTAATTAAGCACAAGGACTTACATTGAGCTCTTGGTTCAGATTCTTTAGGAAGTTCTGGGTAGTGGCTGTCTTAGAGGTACCAGATTCACCCACAAAAATAACAGGGTGCTTAATTTTAACCATTTGTTCCAGCAACCAGGTTGTACGGGTGGTATCCACTGTGTGAACTATGAAACATTTAAGAATTCATTTAAAATACACTGGATTGAACATCTGGCAACCTAGAATTGATTTACTGGGGTACAAAAGACCTTGACAACCTCCTCTAACTCAGATATATAATTTAGGCTCTGGACTCCACTAAGTTCTAGAACTGATTGTTTTCAATTGCATTGGTTGCTCGGATTTTAACTCTGGTTGATCACTGAGAATCCAGATGCACTTTCAAAATGCACAACATGCTGAAATCCAAATGCATAAAACAGAACAAGTTGAGGCATGATTATTTGCTCCATAAAAATATTCATCACCTAGTTTTCTTAATTCCCAAATGGATATGGCCTCATCCATGTTAGAATTCTCCTCCAATGATCCAGATCACAGCCAACCCATACCTGCCCGTCTTGTTGAACTCCTGTCCATGTCTTCCCATTTGTTCACATCCAACATGCTGGAGGGCTTCCTCAACTTCTCCAGACATCCTGAAGATGCCAGCATGGCTTTCTGGCTGTCCAAAAGCCATCCCTCACCCTCGCCACGTGGCCAGACCCTTCTTCTTCCTCTCCTCCATCTCCCTGTCCCTTTCTTTTCTCCTGTTCTGCAGTCTGCCCTCATGTCCTCCATGATGTGCCTGTCCATTGCCCTCAGGGTCACATTTCATTTCAGTGCTTTGAAGACCCTGGTATTCCATGCGTTACCACTTCCCGTTTAATGTTGGCATTAAAAATAATCTCTGATTCAATTTTAAAATTGACTCACATAGTTCTTAGGAAAACAACTATTCCATAAAGAGAGTTACACTGGGCACCATTAAAGAAACCAGTTCTAGAGACTTCTAATCTCTAGTTCTGGCTTAATTCATTTGTTCCCATTAGCACTGGATGGCACGGTGGAACCATAGCTCCATAGACATGCCATCTCCTACATTTGTCAAAGATGGCAGGAACCAAGGGATACAAGAGAAACCGGCAGGGAGGTGGCCAGTGGGAACCCCCCCCACCATCATCTTTGTCTGTTTTGTCCCTCCTCCTGTGATACTGAGAATGATGGTACCCAGCTGACTAATATAGGGCATGAAGACACCATTGCCTCAAAGAACATGTCCTTTATTAAAAAGTGATAACCAGGGCAGCTAGGTGGCACAGTGGATAGAATACTGGCCCTGAAGTCAGGAGGACTTGAGTTCAAATCCAGTCTTAGACACTTACTAGTTACCCTGGGCAAGTAACTTAACCCCAATTGCCTCCAAAACAAAGTGATAACCATTTGGGAGTCAATACTAAACCATACTTACCACAACGTCTGTTGGCCAAACCTCTGAACGTGATTCACAAGGATGCCTTTCTCTCCCATATTAAGCAGAATAATTAAATATTCTCATGCTAATTCTATTCTCACTTACCCAGGATGTCAATAAATTTCTGTTCTGGGTTATGAATGTATTCAGGAACTAATTTATTCCATGGGATCCATTTCTTCTGCTTGCCATCAAAATGAAAGTCATACAGTGTTGGAAGCTGACCTAAAACAAACAGCACCCAATTCAGCTACAGAACACTGAAATGCAAGTGAGTTCCAGCCTATGTTGGAAATGAAATCAAATTTGTGAACTGTTCCAATAAAAACAGTTGGCAAAAATTATCCATTCTCATGAACCACCTTAAGATCATCTTAAAATCATTTTAGAATTCAAAAGTGCCAGACAAGTCGCCAACCATAAGAGTTTCCAAACGAGGAAGTCATAGGTCTCCAAATGAAGACAGAGAGGTGCCAAGACCCCATTCTAAGTAGATATGCAAGTTCAAATCTTCCAGAAAAAAAAAATACATCTCAATGAATAGCAGTCCTCAGATGAGACATCTTTTTTCACGGGTAGAATGAAAAATCTTGATACAATGGCTACAATGGTTTCTTGCAGGTTTTTCCTGCAAGGGTCTGCTTTGCATTTTCCCATGAAAACGATATGTAAAGAGGTATATGCTAGGAGATCTTGGTGTTGTAAAAACAAAAGATTATCAATAAAAATTGATTTATAAAAAAGAAAGAAAAACATTCCTAGCTATGTAATGGAGCAGAAGGAAGTAACTGCGGAACTCAAAGACACAGCTAGGAAAGGATGAAGAAGAAATATTCCAAAGTCAGCAGGAATGTGAGAAATTCAAACAGCCGCTGAAGACCAAAGAAGTAATTTGGCTAAATCAATCAATCAGTCAATCCACAAGCACTTAGTAAGCAGCCTACTATGGGTCAGCACTGTGCGAGGTGCTAGGAGTGCAAAGATAAAAGGGAAATGATCTCTGCCCGAGTCTTCAGGTTGGGGAAGGGGAGAAAGAGGCGGGAACAACATGAAGCTTAGAATCTCCAAGACATGGGGGATTTGATTTCACCAGGAACTTACTACAGTTACATAGTCATCCACAGCCAAACAAACTCCTTTTTTTTTTTTTTTTGGTCCAGATCTGTGATTTCATCAGGGTGAGGAACTTACATACTCCCTGACACAGATCGGCAACCGTTCTGTGACTCGGTCTTTGAGCAGAGCCTCGGGCACTGAAGGGTTAAGTAGTAAGTGCCCTGGGTTCCCCAGATAGTGTGTGCTAGCAGCTGGAGTCCCCCTGACTGCAAGGCTGCAGACCTCTATCCACCATGCAGCAAATAATTACCAATGTCACTTTCTGAAGATAGAAGAAAAAAATTAAGCCCCACGTAGGAGAATGGGTCAAACCCGCCAGCACCAACCTGGGAGTTCACCAGGTCTGGCCCAGACTTCCTCATCAGTCACTGTTGACATGGAGGAAACTCGTTTAACACATTCATCAAATTTCAGTCTGCCATCATCCAGGAGGGAGGCCCCCAAGGAGCAGTAGAGAGACTCCAAGAAGTAACATTCCAAGAGGTCGGGGTCTTCTATTTCTGTCTCGAGTAAGGCATCCAACATCTTGGTCAACTGAGTCACCTAGGGCACAGAATAAGGGAAAGCACACGGTTCAGAAAGCAAGCAATCATTAAGCATTTACGAAGGACCTGTAATGGAGTAATCACTATGCTAAGGTGACAGAAGAAAAATGGCCTCTGACCTAAGAGGCTCAGATTCTACTGAGGGAAATGGTACACACACCTATGAGTAAATGAAAATATACCCATGGTAATTTGAAGGGGGAAAGGCCTCTTGGAAGAGGTGGAGTGAGAAGTGATGGAGGTGAGGAAGGAGGGCACTCCAGGTATGGGAAACAGTGCAGAGATGAAGATGGGAGATGAAGGGTCATGCCGTCCATCACCCTCTCCTCCTAAATATTCTCTCCTCTCTAGAGTCCTCATGACATGTTCTTTTCTGGATCTCCTCCTATCTGTCCACTGACCACTACTCACTGACTCCATGGTTCTTTGTCCAGGTCACCTCCACTAAGTCTGTCCCTCAAGGCTCTGCCCTGGCCCCTGGCTTAGTGATCCCAACAGCTCCCATGGGCTCAATTACGATGATTCCCAGATCGATAGATACAGCCCTACCAACTACCTCTTGGACATCTCAAATTGGACTTCCCATAGGAATCTCAAACTAAACATGGCCAAAACAGAACTCATTATCATGCCCCCAAATTGGCCCTCCTTCCCAATTTCTCTACTACTACTGAGGGTGCCATGATCCTCCCAGTCACATAGGTGCACAGACTGTTATCTTCAGTGTTATCTGAGATATGGTACACAGGGAGCTAGGTGGCACAGGGATGGAGCCTTGGGCCTGGAGTCAGCAAGACCTGAGTTCATGTCCTACATTAGACACATACTAGTTGCATGATCCTGGGCTAATCACTTAACCTGGATTTGCTTCAGTTTCCTTCTCTGTAAATGGGGATAACAATAGCACCTGCCCCCCAGGATTGTTGTGAAGATAAAATAAGATAATACTTGTAAAGTACAATATAAATGCTATTATTGTTATTACTATCATTATCCTCCTCAATGTTTTCTCACTCATACCTGACCCACATATCTAATCTGTTGTCAAATACCATCATTTTTATTTTTACACTATCCTATATATGTCCCCTTCTCTCCCCTCATGCAACCACGAATCCCTTGGACATGCCCTTCTCACCTCTTGTCTAAACTACTACAACAGCCTCCCACCTGGTTTCCCTGCCTCAGGTCTCTTCCCACTCCAGTCCATCCTCCATTCAGCTACCAAAGTGATTTTCCTAAAATGCAAGTGTGATCATGTCCCTCCCCTACTCAATAAACTTCAATGGTTCCCTATTACCTCCAGGAAGAAATACAGTCCTAATCTGGACCCTTCCTACCCTTCCAGTCTTCTTATACTCTACTTCCCTTGATGGATGCTGTGGTCCAGCCACACAGGTCCACTTGCTGTTCTTCATTCAGGATGCTCCATCACTTCCATCCACATGCATTAGCACTGGCTGTCCCTCATGCCTGGAATGCTCTCCCTCTTCACCTCCACATCCCTTCAAGTCTCCCCTCAAACGCCACCTTCTACAAGAGACTTTTGCTGGTGTTTCCCAATCCCAGCTACCAGAGCCTTGTCTCTGAGATTTGCTGAGTCATTTTTCAGTTGTGTCTGACTCTCCGTGACTCCATTTGGGGTTTTCTTGGCAGAGATACTGGAGTGGTCTGCCATTTCCTTCTCCAGCTCATTTTACAGACAAGGAAACTGAGACAAACAGGGTGAAGTGACTTGCCCAGAGTCACACAGCTAGTAAGCATCTGAGGCTGGATGTGAACTCAGAAAGACAAGTCTTCCTGACTCCTGGCCTAGCATTCTAGCCACTACACCACCTAGCTGCCCATTTGTCTCCTCTCCATCCTTTAAAGACCAACCAAAAGTCTAAATCTCTGAGGTAAATTTTCCTGATCCCTCTGCTTGGTAATGAGCTCACCCAGTACTTTGTTTTACGGGGCCCTAATTGCACGGATCCTTTCATAGCGTGTGTCTTCTCCCCCTCCTAAAGGGCGTTCACCACACCCTAGCCCCAATCCTTACTTCTCCCAGAACCTAGGACAGCACCCTCTCTACCCCCAGGAGGCTGACTGTCGGTGATGATAGGGAGGGTAAGGAACAGTGAGGCTTTCCTACCATATTGAGGTCTGTCTGAGGCACTATGGTCTTGAGCTTCTCTCCTTGCCTGCCATCGAGCATCCCCTCCACAATCATGTCAATGAGGTAGGGGACGTATTTGTTGTAGAGCTGCTGCAGATCTCTCTGCTCTTGCTGGAAAAGAATACCATTCCAACAGGTCATCAAGGGCTGCTGCCTCACCAGAACCACGTCCTAGAGGTTTTATTATCAGCAGGTGGAAGCTGATTCTCCTGGATCTGGTGAAATCTGAGCAGTGGGCAGACTGTAAGGCTTCAGGGAAGGGCCAGGGCCACTGTAGATCAATGGAAGGACCCTCTTCTCACAATGACACTATTATGCATCACTGATGCATGCATTTAAAGGCACTCCTATTTTTGATAAGTCTGTTGTGGTAGGAATCACATTCTGATTCCAATTGACGACTGCAAATATTTGAAAATATTTTTCTTTGGTAGCTATGCTTTCGTTAATTTTGGTATATTAAAAACCTGTTAATCAGGGGCTTTTAACCTCAGATCTGTGAACTTTTTTAATATGATAACTCTGTCTTAATATAATTGGATGCCTTTGTAAGCCTATATATTTTATATCATGCATTTAAATACATCACATTCTGGGGAGGAGTTCATAGGCCTCACCAGACTGCCCAAGGGGTCCAATTCACAAAAAAGGCTAAGAACTCATGTTCTATTTATAACAAAGAAGCAAGATGATTTCATCACAAAAAAAAAATACAAAATGTGGAAAAGAAATCCCTACATTCACACCATGGCTTTGCCAATTAGTACTTTTGAGATCCAGGACCATTCTCATTGCTAATTTCTTCATCAATAAAATGGGGATAAGACCTGCCCTATTTACCAGATGAGTTGTGAGCATTTAATGAGACATCAGAGATGAAACTATTAAAATTTAAAGTGCTACATAAATATAAAATGTCATTATCATATATCAAATAATGGCCCTATATTATACCTAATAAATATAGTAATGTTTGCTTAATAGGGAATAGGGATGGGTTCTGAACCCACGATTTTAAATAGTCAGTCAGTCAACACACATTTATTCAAGGTCTCCCACTGTATCCAGGACCATCTCCAGTCATCCTGATCTATATCTTGCCACTGAACCCAGATGGCTCTGGAGGAGAAAGTAAGTCTGGTGACTTTGCACAGTCCTCTGTTACTTAAATGCAATTCACTTGCAACTCATGGCATCACCTTCTTGATGTCACAGTACTCTTTGAGAATAAAGGAGAAACAACAACAACTCTATGCCAAGCGCAGGGGATTTAAAGAAAGGCAAAAGATAGTTCCTGTCCTCAGTGGGCTTACATTCTGGTAAGGGAGTCAACATGTAAATAAATAGATACGGACAAGGTATATACAGAGTCAATGGAAGGTCATCTGAAAGGGGAAGACATTAGTGGCTAAAAGAGCCAAGAAAGGCCTCCTGAAGAACATGGGATTTGAGCTGGGCTTCAAGGCCAACCTTCTGTCTACTATGATGCCTCTGCATCTGTCTGCTTAATAATAACAATGATACAGCTATAAGCTGTATCGAGATGCTTGCCTTTTCAATGAGGGTGGGTGGGGAGGGAGGAAGGGAGAAAATTTGTAACCCAAATTTTAAAAACACATGTTAAAAATTTAAAAATAAATTTAAAAAATAAAATTAATTAATTAAATAAATAATAACAGTGATAAACTGTCTTCACCCAAGTCACTGGTGAAATTGTCAGATAATACAGGGTCCAAGACACAGCCCCAAGGCGTTCCACACAATGTCCATCCTTTGCCAGAACTTTTTGGATACCAGAGTTCAATACTCAGTTGTTTCACTCCCATTTAGAAATAATGCTTACCTTGTTGTTGATCCGGTTAACCCACATCATCCAGAAAGGCTCGTATTTCAGGTTTTTAGGATCAACATAAACCATCCCACATCGAGAGACAGTGGCAGGGGAAGCATACTGTAAGTCCCCAACCTGAAGAAAGAAAGAAAGAAGGAAAAAAAGAAAGTAAGGAAGAGAGAAAGAAAGAAAGAGAGAAAGAAAGAAAGAAAGAAAGAAAGAAAGAAAGAAAGAAAGAAAGA